ACACAAACCAACCTGCAGCTTATCCAAACTCCACAAAGACAGAGGAGCATGTAACCACCACCTGAGCTGTAAAGGTGTGCAGGGGCCAACCCTTGTGTTTGCCCTTTTATAACTATAATCAAAACTAGAAAATCCCCCTGGGACATTTTGGAAGGGCCACTGCTGGGGTGTGAACATTAAGATGAGATTCTTCAGAGATTTCAAAAAATTAATACTAGTAGCATTATGATATTATATACAAGGAGCACACCTACAACAAACTCTCCATTTTCAAGTATTTATTTGTCTAAAAGAGAAAAAAAATGGAGCAGCAGATAAAGATATTTGAAAAAAAAAATTATATATAATTTGTCCTACAACTCTTCAAGCTGTTGGACAAGTAGTAAATAAAAATAGATCAGAAAAAATCCACAGTATAACAATAGTGCATCAGTGCATTTGCCCCGTGGCCCTAACGATCAGATCAGTTTATTTAACCCTTGATCACAATAAAAACAAACTTTCTGGAGTATCAAACTTTGCTCACAAATAGGGTTGCCAACTCCCTGAAACATTAAATAAAGGACGCCTCACTGGCAGGGCCGACCAACCCGATTGCCTTCACCCTTTCTGGCATGGTGAATTTTTTAAGCCCTTTTTGTGTGATTTCTCCACCATTCAGAGTGGGATGGTGGAGACAAAACATATCACAAATGATTTTTTGTGATATGAAGACATAGAACAACAATTACGGCAATTTAAATGGTGTGCTTGAACCGAGAGGTTGCTGCAAGTCTGGTCTCTCTGTTTTATCTGTAATTTTTGTAATTTATGCGAGATTTTTTTCATATTTTTGTTGTAATTTTGTTGGCTGCTGATGGATACTTCTGCTGGCCGAAGAGTTTACTCAAGAGAAGAGCTCCTTTCATTGAGGAAAAGCAGATCTGGACAACAACATACAATTCCAGAGGACATCAGGAGGTGTTATCGTGGTTGCCATGCTGGTGCAAAGGTGAAGGCAAAGCTGAATGCTTGGAGGTGGCGATATAAACCCTTTCTTCCATTAATCATCATGGGAAATGTCAACTCTCTGCCCAACAAAAGTGATGAGCTGGAGAGACTGAAAAAGCATACCGTGAGTGCAGTTTCCTGTGTTTTACTGAAACCAGGTTGAATCAAAACAAACTGGACTCCAGTGTGGATCTACCCGGCTTAACTCACATAAGGTCAGACAGAGATGCTCAAGCTAGTGGCAAGAAGAAAGGAGGAGGTCTGGCTTTATTTGTCAACCAGAGATGGTGTAACCCTTCACACTGTGTAACTGTCAAGGAGAAGTTGTGTTGTCTGGATATTGAACTGTTGGCAGTTGCTCTTCGGACATATTATGTTCCAAGAGACTCAACACCCTGAGGCACTAATAATAATATCGGGAGACTTCAACCATGTCACCTCTCCTCTCACCTGACTGGATTCACACAGTTTGTGAACTGTCCTACTAGAGAAAACAAAACCCTGGATCTGCTGTATGCCAACGTCAAAGAAGCCTACAGAGCCACTCCCTTACCACCACTGGGCAAGTCAGATCATAACTTGGTCTATCTGCAAACCTGTTACAGACCTTGTGTGCTGAGGCAGCCTCTGACCAAAGTCAAAATCAGAAGATGGACACCTCAAGCCAGTGAAGCTCTAAAGGACTGTTTTAAATCAACAGACTGGAATGTGCTGCTGGAAACACATGTGGATAGTATGAACATTGATAAACAGGTTGACTGCTTTACTGATTATGTCAACTTCTGTAGAGACACAGTTATACCCACAAAAACTGTTCGCTGTTTCCCCAACAACAAACCCTGGATCACAAGAGACATAAAAGCAATCCTTAACCAGAAAAAGAAAGCTTTTAAAGATGGTGACAAAGAACAACTCAAACAAGTGCAACACGAGTTGAAGAGGAGACTGAAGATGGCAAAGCTGGAGTACAAAAAGAAGATAGAGAATAATCTACAACACAGCAACATCTGTGAAGTGTGGAGAGGAATCAGTACCATCTCTGGACACAGCAGTCAAAAGAAAAGACAGCCAGTGGTGGGTGATGTGAAAAGAGCTGATGAACTCAACCTGTTCTTATACAGATTTGACACTGCTATCACTCCCACTTCCACTGCTACTCCACCTTCCTCTCCGCAACAAATCTCCACTTCAACTTCTCCCCTTCCTCCTCCATCTTGTTTAAATGTCTCAACCACTTCAACTGCCTCCCTCCTAGAACACCACTCCTTGTCTGTCACTGAAACAGGGGTGAGGATGGAGCTTGGAAGACATTGTTCTGGGAAGGCAGCTGGTCCAGATGGTGTGTGTCCAAGGCTGTTTAGAGACTGCGCTGCAGAACTGTGTCAACCTCTCCACATGATCTTCAACCTGAGTCTACAGCTGGGGCAGGTACCTGCTCTGTGGAAAACATCCTGCATTGTGCCAGTACCAAAAGCAAAATGTCCTGCTGAACTCAATGACTGCAGACCAGTGGCCCTCACTTCACAAATCATGAAAACTCTGGAGCGGCTGATTCTACGCCTTCTGAGGTCTGAAGTCAAAGACAAACTGGACTCCCTGCAGTTTGCATACAAAGAATACATTGGAGTGGATGATGCTGTCCTCTACATGCTTCACCGTGCCCTGTCTCATCTGGAGGAACCTGGGGTTTATGTGAGGATCATGTTTTTTCGACTTTTCAAGTGCATTCAACACCATCCAACCCACCATACTCAAAGACAAGCTCACAGAAATGGGAGTGGATCCTTCCTGTGTTTCCTGGATCACAGATTACCTGACAGGAAGGCCACAGTTTGTCAGGCTGGGGAACTGTGTTTCTGGGACATTAATGAGCAGTACAGGGGCTCCTCAAGGGACAGTGCTGGCACCATTCCTGTTCACACTGTACACATCAGACTTCAAATACAGTACTGAGTCCTGCCACATCCAGAAATACTCAGATGACACTGCTATTGTGGCATGTATCAGAAATGGACAAGAAGCTGAATACAGAGATTTAATAAGATAATAATAATGTGTTAATATCTGTTCTATTTCAGAGTAATTTAGCATTTAATGAGAATGTTTGTGCTTCTACATTTCATTACATGGGCTTGGTATCAAATCATTTGTCATGAAACCAAGCATTCAATTACATCATTATTAATTGAGCGAGTATCAGATATGACTCTTTTACAAGCCAAAGGTATAAGTTAGATCAAATCATAAGGGATCTTAAAGACCATGACCCCTCCCCTCTCTCCTCACACACACACCCCGGAGACACTCCCAGTATGAAGTTGGGGGTGCTCACACTCTTCACTGCTCACGCTTTTCTGTGTTCCTCTTCTTTGTTTTCTCTTAGCTTTTACTACTTAGTCTTACTTTTTCTTAGCCTCCTAAGTTTCACGCCACATGTTTATTCACGTTGTTTGGTTTGTCTTTGACATCATCTTATTTAAAGTTTTGAAACTTCAACTTTTTGTGCACATAGCAATTCAAGATTAAGCCTTTAACAGATTTTTCTTTAATTTCACAGTCATTTTTTTATATAGTTTCTACTGGCCATCGAGCCTCTTTTTCTGAGTTATCTGTGTGAATTCAAAGTCACCTCTCAACACCACTCAGCAGGACCAAAGTCATCCTCTGTGCCAGAGTGTTGAGTGAGACCAAAGGAGCATCCAAAGGACTCATAAGGCGTGGTTTTTGGCTGACTTCGGTCATCTTCTGAGCCAAACCTCTCGAACTGCTGGTAGCCCCGGACCTCCGGAATCTGCTCCATCCTCTCCAAGGACCAGTCTCACTTAAGTATGCAAACCTCCGGAGCTCCAAACAGGGCTGGCGCTGTCTCATGTGGTCATAGTTCAAATATTTACTTATTGGAGTAATCCTAGATTCATCCAAATCCACGTCCAAATTTATCTTTACACCAGAGTTCATGTAGGCTGATATGTTAGAGCTTATTCACTCACTATCATTAACTTTAGTGCCCTTAGCCTGACTCAGAATCTTTTGTTATTCACCTATTATTATTTATGCTCATTATCTTATCATTTTTTGCATGTATGTTGTACCATCATTTATCCTGTAACAGACAGATCATTATTTTTTGAAGTTCTTGCCTGTTAGTGTTCTTCCATAAGTGGAGTCCCTGAAATGAGAATTTCAGCTTGAGATATGAGATTGGTTTAATTAAAGATTGACTTAATGTTTGATTTCTGAATTAAACTTTTGTTTTTCTTTAATTTCCCACCATTAAGGGTGGGTGGTGCCCCTTTCATTGAGTGCATAACTGTCATAATTCAAGATAATTAATCCTAAGACATTTATTATAAATTCAAATCGCTACATCATTATTTAGCAAATTATTTTTTATTATTTTTTATTTTTTCTGTGTAAAATACCAAAGTAAACCAAATAAAATCGATATCTTTCCTAAACAGAAACCTTTCCTGCTCAAATTCATAGAAAACAAACTTAACTTATCTTTTTAAATAAATTAATAGAAAACAATATAAAGCAGGACATCCCTGTGTTACAGGCTCAGCCTGTGACTGTGACTTTATTATGTGGGAGAGGTTAGAGTTCATGGGGGTATGTCAGCGGGGCATTGTGGGTAACAGTGTTCTTGGTGTTCGCGGGGAAAGCAAGGCAGGGAGTTTTTGTGTGAGAGAGACGGACCCCGCAGCCACGAGTGTGATGCTTTATGTTTTTCCTTCTGCGAGGAGTGCTAGAAAATAAAAGTACAGTTCTTCCAACGTGGTTCCGATCATCTTTTTATGTTACCTCAACGAGTTAAACCGAGAGCTGTCCAAGAGTGGTCCACCTACTACGGTTCGAGGGTCTACAAGCTCAAGTTTGGTAACACTGGGGGCTCGTCCGGGATCGTCTGGAAGTAAGAGACACTGTTCTATCTAGCAAGCAGAAAGAGAAAAACTACAGAGAAAGAGACGGCGCTCAGCAGTGACAGTAGCCACACAGCACTATAAGAAATGGCGGCGCGCTTGGATAACCACACCGCTAGCCAAGAAAGAGCGGCGGGGGTAATTCACACACGAAACAGCAACAGCACGACAGTGACTTTCGGGGCTAACGTGGTGGATGGCGGGTGCGTCGACTACGGCTGGAGCCCAAATAATCCCTTCCTAGCCAGCATGAAGCTAACACAGGCCGCTAACGGAGCAGCGGACCCCACGTTTCTACCGCAACTGGACACAGCGTGGCCGCCCACTCCACCGCCATCGGGATCTACAAATCCTTTCACCAAAGCAGCGGTGCAGCAGAGAGGAGACCATGGTGAGTCTGCAGCGCCCGCAGATGTTAAACATACCGCTGCTACCCCGTTACGCCCCACAGAATTTACCCACATCACTGATCAATATATTAATCCCTTCACAAAGACGAACAGAGACTATTTCACTACTAGTACTCCTGTTTTCCACACCCAAGCACCTTTTCAAACACAGACTGTGCCACAAATCGCCTCACATGTGCCTTCACACGTAACACCAAGCTATGCAGTGCAGGGCCAGACCTATGACCACAGTTTTTCAAGAACTGATCCTCCCCCTCTCCCACTGTGGGGGAAAATAACAGATGTGGTTGGATGTTTTGGAGGTTACTATGAGGCAAGAAAACAGGACTGCAACACGGTCATGGTGAACTGTGTTGCAATAACATAAACTTTATCAGGTTGGGATAAACTGTGTTGCAATGACATGAACTTTATCGGGTCATGGTGAACTGTGTTGCAATAACAGGAATTTGGCCCCAGACATAGTGGCAAGGGAGAAGTCACGTAGGGAGCTCTCCCACGGGAAAGTGATACACACACGGAGGTAGCTTCGCACACACATTTGGCAAAAGCTGAGATCAGTGACGTCAATGGAGTACTATAAGAGATCTGTGGTTTTTCCTGTTCTGGGTTCTGTCTGTTCGACTGTTCATGAGCTATGTTTTGATACTGTGACCAGAATAAAATCCCGTGAGGGGCTGCCAGCTTGATTCTGTCTTCGTGTAGTTCATTCCTGCATTTTTGCACCGAGATCATCTTCTAAATAATTGGCGAGCCACAGCCTAGATTTTGCCAAGGCCTGGGGCGGTGGTCTCCCCGCGTGAGTGAAATCCACGTGCCGGCACACAAAAGGTAGGAGAAGTTTATTTCTCTATTAGATGTGTGATTTCACTGTGTGGTGAGGTCATCGTGTGTTTGGGCCCTCGCAAAAGAAAGAGCCTAGAATCAAAGGAAGCAGAGTCAGGCGGAGTCTCTCACGTGTTATTCATGTATACATGAAGGCTGCTCCAAAGTGTGTGGAAAATTGTGAGACAGACAAATTAACTATTGGCGTCAAAGCAGCTGGGAATCTTGGCCAAGTGTCTGTTGACTTGTGTCTTATGGGGATAGTAGGAGTAAAGCGAACAGGCCCCGAGATTAGGGCTTATGGAGGCAGAGTGGATTCGCTCCAGACCCCGAGCAACAGGCTTATGGGGGTAGTTAAGGCGTAAATGCGAAAAGGTCTCGAGCTTAATGCTTAGGGGGGCAGAGGAGTATCGCTAACAGATCCCGAGAACAGTGATCAGCAGAGCAGATCTGTTGTTGTGGGTGAACAAGATGCCGGGAAGTCAAATCCTAGGGGCATAGAATTCACGGCGCGCGATTTTAGAGGCCGGCAGCCAAGCCCTGGCAGATGTGTAAAAAAGATTAACCCGATGAGGTTGGACAGACTTCAGAGATACTGCTCTGTGGAGCCCGGGGAGGTCTGAAAAGGCGAGGAACCTGGACAGACCACCCCATGTTAAGTTCTGTAATCTGGGGCTGACCTTTTACTGAGCTCGAAAGGCAGAAACCCTGCAGGTTGCAGACTTATCTAATATAAATAACGTGGAGAAATCCACTAGGAATTATGGAACAGATTTAGATGTGGTTGACTGGACTGTACACGAAAGTTCAATCACACTTGCTGGGAAATCCCACTAGAAGTCAGGTCTGTCGCTAATTATGGGCACATTTTAACGTATATCCACAAAAACTTATAGATGAAACGAATGCATTTCTCATAATAAGTAACGGGAAATAAAGAAAAACAAACAAAAACTGCAATCTGAGGACAGAGGTTAATCATACGGAACATTGGACATTGGAGGTATTGAAAATTTATAAGGTAGGAGTTGTTTGATCCACAATTTCCTTCCAAATTGACACCACGAAAAGCACGGATGATCAACGTGTTATCTTTTTTTAGTCAGCCAACTAAATAGAATACCTTCAAAAATCACCAAAAAGAATGAACAAAAGTATATTTGACGAATAAAATAGAAACACCCCAAAAGTGTGTGAGTGAGGACCGGTCCGTGTAAGCGTGATCACTCTTTTCCTTTCCCTCCCTCTCCTCGCACTCCGCCGAGGGTGTGTGTGTGAGGGTGTGTGTTGTGTGTGTGCATGGTGCAAACTAATATGTAAATAATGGAAAATGTTTAACAAGGTGGTTGCAGGAATCCTATAAGCAAGCTAAGATTAACTGTGTTGTCACGGCTCTGTATATGGTGCCTAAAGTTGGGAGAATTGTGACACAAAACAGACTGTTGGTGGGGTTGGACTTTTTCGATGGTGTGCGTAAGGTTGTTGGTAAAGCAGAATTTGGTGTTGGTACAGTAGTCTGAGAAAGGTTGAGCAAAGACGCAGTTAGAGTGTGTAAGCTGAGGCAGGAGTAAAAGTTGTGTGGTAGGGTGTGGCACAGACAGAGAGCAGGAGAAGTTGACAGTCCGAGTGTCAGACTGAGACTGAGAGAAGTAGGAAGTAAAAGGGGAAGTGAGGTCAATTCCACTCTCACTCAGCCCCGAACGAGCCCCCACCTTTGCGTGAGAAATAAATAAAGCTCCCTCTCTCCCCCGCTACTACTCTCATTCAGTGAGAAGCCCCCCCACATATCCCCCCTTTGGGATCCAAGACATACAGCCCTCACTCGGTGAGGAGCCCCCACTTTCGTAAAAACTCCCCCGCCCTTCTCTCTCCTAAAAGTTCTGAGACCTGGCGAGCCGCAAGCTGAATATTAAAGCTATCGTACCTGCAGTACAAATATATAAACATTTTGTGCATTTTAAAACACTCATAGCATTATTTTACAAATATATAAACATTGGGTAAACTTGTGACAGAATTCGTTTCGGGGGACAAGGGACCATGGTTCTGCGAACTTCACATGGGATAAGGACACTCTGTGGCCACTAAAAGAAAAAGGTAGGAGATTTCCTAAAATTTGGTTGAGAGTTCTTTTCCCTGTGAGGTGGTGCGGACTACTGCTCTCTGTCCTCTTCGAATCAGTTGGTTGTGTCAGACCGCCTCACGCTGCTACATGCGTGAGACTATGTGAGAAGCTATAGGCTGGGTGCAGGAAAGCACTGGCCAGTAGCGTGGGGAGACAGCCGGGCCCGGGTTGTGATGTGTTTTCTAAGCTGATTGCCTGGTGACAAAAGGTTCTGGGTAATTTTTGGGATAACAAGGGGAGTGGCAGGCACGAGTGTGTCTGTCCGTTGTTGAACTGTGAGTTTGGGCAATTTTTTGTTTTATGAGCTCTGACAGATACAGATTGGCTTGATGAGCAGGAGATAGAAAAAGAGGTCAATAAGGATAGGCCGAAAAGCCTATTCAGGGATCCCAATTGAAAAAGCACGTCCCATATCTCCTGACCAAGTGTAGAAGAAACACACAAATTGGAAAAATTGAAGAAATCAAAACAAGAATTAAAATAGAAGACTGCTGACTGACTCCAGTGACTGACTTTGACTTCAAACACGTGTGAAAGGGTATACCATTGTGTGATGAAAAAGTGAAGTGTGTGGGTTGATTGGATGTTTGTGTGTGTCTGTTTTGTTCTGTGTCAACTAAGTCCTCTGGCAGTGTTCACAGTCAGACTCTGCATCTGTGTGTGTGTTGTGTTAGTCAAAGATTGCTGTGCTTTCCTCACTTGTGTTTATTTCATAGTTGTTTATGTGAATACTGTGCTCATTGCGGTCATGTTATCAGTTGAGACATAGAAGGTTAAATACTCCTGGGAAAGAGGTTCTGTTCCTAGTACCATGATGAACACTCCTGATATGAAGGTTTTAGCTTATGCTTAAATATTATGATGGTTTTTTGTTGTGAACACACCTCTTATGCTACTTAACAAATTTCCTGTGTTAAAGCTGCTGAAATAATGTTTGTAAAAGTATTAAAAAAAAAAAAAAAAAAAAAAGAAGAAATGAGGTACCACAAGTGCAAAACTTCTAAAACTTCAAATCTAAGAGTTGCTTCTATACATCTGCTGTTTTTTGCCAAAATACTGTGTTTTTTAAATATTATTGAAGGTGTTAATATCAATACTGACTATTGCTATAAAACTGCAGTTGAGGCAAAAGCTTTATACTGTGTATTTTTTGGGAATTTTACAAAATTGCTGGTCAAGTTTTAATGTGTGTGCTCATTTGAATAATAAATTTTACAAAAAGCATGACCAGAAAGGGAAGATTAGATACACATTGGTAGGGTGTAAATATACTGAACCAAAAACTTACAGAGAAATGGGAACATTGAATCAAGGGTGTAGTGATTTGAAATGAGCCTCACACGGTCGCACCAAAATATATGTAGCGATTTGAAATGAGCCTCACAAGGCCGTACCAAAATAGTACTGTAGCGATTGGAATTTATAATAAATGTCTGAAGATTAATAATCTCAAATTATGACATTTATGCACTCGTTGAAAGGGGCACCACCCACCCTTAATGGTGGGAAAATAAAGAAAACAAAAGTTTAATTCAGAAATCAAACATCAAGTCAGTTTTAATTAATCAGTCTTAATTAATCAGTCTCATATCTTAAGTCGAAATTCTAATTTCAGGGACTCCACTTCTGGAAGAACACTAACAGACAGGAACTTAGAAAAATAATGATCTGTTTATTACAGGATAAATGATGGTACAACACACATGCAATAAATGATGATAAGATAATGAGGATAAAATAATAATAGGTGAATAAATAAAGATTCTGAGTCAGGCTAGGAGCACTAAAGTTAATGATAGTGAGTGAATATGCGCTAACATATTAACCTACACTAACTTTGGTGTCGAGATAAACTCGGATGTGGATTTGGAGGAATCTAAGATCACCAGAAATAGGTGGATACCTGAGTTATGAATGCATGAGACAGCACCAGCCCTCTTTGGAGCTCTGGAGGTTTGCATACTTAAGTGAGACTGGTCCTTGGAGAAGATGGAGCAGGTTCCGAAGGTCCGGGGCTACCAGCGGGTTCGAGCGGTTCAGCTCAGAAGACGACTGAGGTCAGCCGAAGGATGGGCCAGGAGTTGTAGCACTCGGGCTTAGAGTAAAGCTGGCGCCTGTGGATCCTGTGGATGCTCGTTTGGGTACTTCTTTGGTCTCACTCAAGAACTCTGGCACAGAGGATGACCTGGGCCTGCTGGGTTGCGTTCAGAGGTGACTTTGAAAATCACGCAGATAACTCAGAAAAACGAGGCTCAAAGAGCAGAGAAAACTTTCAAAAATGGCTTCGCGAAATTAAAGAAAAATCAATCAAAGGCTTAATCTTGAATTGCTATGTGCACAAAAAGTTGAAGTTTCAAAACTTGAACTAAGACGATGTTAAAGAAAAATCAACTTGAATCAACACGTGGCGTAAAACTTAGTAGACCAAGAAAAAGTTCTAAGAGAAAACAAAGAAACGCACCACAGAAGGGTGTGGGCAGAAGAGAAGGGCCCAAGAGTAAGGGGCCTAAGAGAGACAGGAGAGTCAGCACACAAGAGAAAAAAGGCATAAGCACGTGAGCAACCCCACTTCACTGGTTTTATCTTCTCACACTGGGAGTGTCTCTGGCGTGTGTGTGTGAGACAGAGGAGGGGTCGTGTGGTCTTTGATTATTTGATCTTACTTATTCTTTTGGCTGGTAAAAGAGTCAGATCTGATACTCACTCACTATGATTAATATCATTGAATGCTAGGTTTCATGATAAATAATTTGATACTAAACACATATGAATGAAGTGTAGGATCACATCAAACATTCTCATTATGTTTCAAGTATCACATTGAACATGCTAAATTACTCTGACATGAAACAGATAGTAACACATGAAAACTGTGAACAACAAAAGAGTAAATACATGTGAATAAACTTCATCATGATTAATAATGGATTCTAAATAGTCACATTCAGATTATTCAATGACATTATAACCACCTAATGGTTAAAATACTAAATAAACAACTAAAATATAAACCAAACATTTCTAAACCATTTCTGTTACTTTAGAGTAAAGTTATGAGTCACAGTCAATAAATTTAACTCTTAAAAGTTCATGACACAGTCTGAAAAGCTGTTGGTCTAAAGAAACTAAAGAATAAGGATTTATTCTGTCACAGTGATAACTCGGCTTCTGAAGCACCTAGAAAAACGGGAAACATCTCATTTTAACACAAATTTCATGATTAGACAGATTAGTACATTGCTGAATGCATAAGATGTCAGGATCAGTCACTTGTATTCTTTCACCAAAGGAATGTAGTCTTTATCAGTGTATGGTCGAACAGGGTTTTACGACCGAGGTCTGGAGGTCAGTGTCCCCCCCTTTTCCTGGGGTCCGTATGTTCACACACTTTAAGACGCTAAATCTCAAATGGGAGATCTGGGTTGAGACGTTAGTGTTTATTTAGATGGTCAGTGATGGAGTCAGTTTAAAAGGTAATAAAAACTCTGTCTCTGTTCTCCGAATTGACCAATCGTGAAGAGTCAGAAGTTTGGTCAACCTCCGGTTGGGTCACTTAGGCAACCTGAAAGTGTAAACAAGTCTGGAAAGATTTATATCCTGTTTCCTGGGATCAGATAAGGAAACTTTCCTGTGAGGAATGTGTGCGTTTCACACCCAGGGTTGTCTTGATTGCTACAAGGGGTTTGAATTTTTATGACCTAGGGGAGGCACATCTGATGTGGCTGTGTGTGAGGATTTGGAGCAGCGAATCTAAGACCATAAACATAAAGATAAAAGTAAAACACGCAAAAACAAGAGATATGGAACTAAAAGTACCGGACATGTTCAACTTAGCACTTAGATTGTTGTCATTTTTTATACTTTAGAGTCCAATTTTAGATTTTAAGTCATACTGGGACCTTTTTGAACCTGATTTCAACGTTCTTCTTGTGTATTTGCTCGTTAAATGCATTACTTTTCTTTTTTAAATCATGCTCTGATCTTTTGAACTAATAAATAAGAATAGAATAAAAACTAAAATTTTTCTATCTTAGGTTGCCTTTAAACTTATTTATTTATTATTAGTATTATTTTATCTCTTTTGAATTTCCAAATGATTTAAGATCATTGCTATTTTTTTTCCCATATGTTCTGAAAAGGAAATTGACAGTTTTAGTGTCTAGATTATGTTCGCTTGGAAATGCACTGATAGTATGTTTTCAATCTTAAGAAATGGCACACAGGCTAGCTATGTGCTGTGGAAAACCACACACCTTGTTGGGCTGATTGCCAGACTACCACAAACTGAACAGGGGGCAGGGAGATGGATACGAGTTTTTGAGGATGAATTGTAGGAAAATGTTGACTTCACCAGACATGAAAGCACTCTTGGCTAAACTGCTGGGAACTTAGACGATGGAGGAGTTTCTGCGCAAGGCAAAACAAGGTTGAATGACGAATCCCATGAGAGATGGGGGTGAGTTCAATGCATATTGTGATGTGATGTGGAGGGTGCTGCCAGATGAAGAGCGGAGACCGAAAGAACAGGAAAAGAACATTCAGCGGAAGTTGAAACAGCCACCTCTAAGGGGGACACTGCAAAAGAGACCCAGCGATGCAGACCGTGCAGACGCTAACTGCGGTAAAACCTGTGACAGTAACCTGTTTAATCACCTGTTGTGAATGTTTATCCTCAGACAGAACCCTGCTCCATAGAGATGATATATCCCGGCAGGGGGAGAGAGTGGAATTCGGACGGACGTGTGACGTCTATAGACCTGCTGGGGATGTGATCATACCGGACATTTTTGACAACTGCCCAGACCAGGGACGTTTCTGGCTGGAGCTGTGGTGGTGGGCCCCAGCCCAGACAATGTGAAAGTGGTGGCTTACTACAGTGTGATTCTTGTGGATGATGGAAAAAGTTAATTGTTAGTTTTAATTTTAACCCTGTTGACCTTATAGACCAAAGAGCCCTATGTAGAAGTAACATTCAAATTTGGTGCTCACCGCGAGGTGTGTAAGTAGACAGTTATGGTTTATAGTTTAAAGTAAATATCGTGACATTAACATTGTAACATCCCTGTTCTGTTAGTTTAATACTGATAAATCTAAATGCAGCTGTGCTGAATCCGCATACACTCCTCACAGATGTGCCACCTAATGTAAAAGTAATAGGAAGCTATCAAAGGGCAATAAGGCCACAGAAAATGGTTTAGAGTCAAATAACTAGTTTTGTACCAGTAGTATTAACAAACGAACTTAGGATCTGACTTTCACAGTGATTCACACTGTGAAAGGGGGGAGATGATGAGACAATTAAAACGACATTTTTAGAATATGCTGACAATAGTTGATAAACTCTTGGGTCATTGTGATATGTGTTTCGTTAGATGAATTGAAGAGAACAATAAAACAGTAGTGGGACACCTCTCCAGTTCCAGAGAGACGTTTTTAGACATCTATTTATAGGCAATGTGGACATGATTAAAACTGCCAAGGGATATGTTACATGTTTGTAATGATGACGGGTTCAGTCGATGGATAGAAGCAACACCATCAAAAGATCTTGGAGTCAAAATAAATCTGTCACTGCATGATTTGGTACATCATTTTGGGGAAGAAAGTTAATCTCTCAAGTAAATATCCGATCAGAGAATTTGCACTAACACTAACTTATAGGAAGATGCTTTGCTATTTGCGCTTATGAGCTTTCACAATCAAAAGCACTGAGATAAATCTTTCACTGCATGATTGACTAACTTACAAAGCTATGCTTTACTGCGGCTAAATAATTAAGTTTTTTGCTTGAGCAGCTGAAAATTAGTGAATTAAATATATGAGGCATCTAACTACGATGCAAAGATCTATCGATTAGCAGGAGGAGTGCCAAAATCTGATCCCAGTCAAGAGGGGGAGGCCAGTCGAGCCAGAGCACCAGGTGTACATCACCGTCCTTTGAGGAGGGTGGCAAAAAGAACGAGGAGAAGACCTGAACACTTTGGTCCTGGTGAACTCTACTTCAGTGCAGGAAGTGGCACGAACCACGACGGGAAGGACCGTACACGGTGGTGTGAGCTACTCCCACAGCAGTCCAGGTCGAAGGGAGCGGGACGTGGTATCACCTGTCACACTGCACGAAGGTTCCAGGCAAAACCAAGGGCGGTATTGAGTTGAAAAACAAAGATGAAAAACATGACATTGTGGTGTGTGCTGGTGGTAATGAACTCTCTTCTATGGATGCCTGTAGAAGCAGTGGAGCTAGAGACTCAAAGGGAAAAACAGAGCACCCCGGGGACCAGAGCCACGCCAGAGACCAACCCGCACGACAGAGGAGACAGAGCATCTGAATCAGATGAGTATGATGCAACCACACAGACACCAATCCATGACGTGCTAAACTCTGAGCCAGCACTCTCAGCTGAGCTCAAACACATAAACATTCCGTACCAAGTGGTGTATGGACGAACACGGGGTAAAAGAGCTATACACAAAATGTGGCGGTGGCGTGCTAGCATGGACATACCCGATAGCATGCAAAACAGAAGCAACTAACACAACTGTTAATTGTAAAATTACGTGGGTATTGTCATGGTTTCCTGAAGCTAATATGAGCGAACCGTTTATAACTAGACCTGTTTGGTTTGAAAATCCAGAGCAAATGTTAGATCAAACATGTGAAAACATAACTATGACCAGACCGAGTATGCATTTTTTCGCAAGTCAAACTGTTGCAGTAGCTGACAGTTACTGGATGTGTGGAGACAACATTGTGCGAAACACACTTCCACCAAAATGGATTGGACTCTGTACATTAGTGCGAATGAAAGGGTCAGTTGTCGTGTTGTATGACGGCGTCGAGGAGATCTTTAAAATCCAGGGAGAAACAGCCAAATTGAACCGCCACAAAAGGCAGATTGACGTAAAGGTGTACATCAATAGTATAGGAGTGCCAATAGGAATTCCAGAGGAGTTTAAAGCTCAGGATGAGATCAGAGCAGGTCTAGAGTCGATTCTCCCCTGGATCACCACTAATAAAAATGTCCAATGGATAAATTACATTTATTACAACCAACATAGGTTTGTTAGTGCGACATCTGAAATCCTGAGCGCTCTCGGTATTCAATTACACGCAGCAAGTATAATGGCCCAACAAAATAGACAGGCTTTGAATTGGCTGACAGCGGATAGGGGAGGAGTATGTCACATGTTCGGGAAACATTGTTGTACCTTTATGCCAAATAACACAGCCCCTGATGGTATATTTTCTGTGGCAATGGGGAAGCTTACAGAACTCAGAGTTGAGCTCAGGGAGAGTGCGGGCAAGGGGGGACTGTCATGGGATTGGTTTGACCAAATTTTAGAAAAATGGGGAGCCGTTTGGGCTAAGATAGGACTCAGTGCACTAGCAGTCCTAATTTTAATTTCCTTTTTGATATGTTGCATCATCCCCATCCTGAGGAGGCAGTGTCTGCGGGCTCTGGAAAAACAGATGACTGTGGTGACTGGTCTCCAAAGAGCTCAAATGTTGAACTTGCTGACGCCGTCCCAAATGGCACAACTCTGCATGGACGACAGCAGGGCAGGAAACGGGGACTATCCAGACTTATACCCAAACCCTGCCCGTGTGGGTGACTCTGATGAGGACGAACAGAGTCAAGTGTAAGGTAAACAAGAAGCAGAGGTGCAGCAGCAGCGAGCAAGCAAAAGGAAAAGCAAATGGGACGGCGGAGCAAATGGACTATCATATCAATACACACATTGTTGTGAGGCAGGCTTGTAGTGAGGACCCAGAAGCAGACACTGAGACAGAGCTCAACGTAAAACGAATTTAATGTCCAAAAACAGAAAGGGATAGATAAGGGAACAAAGGAAGTCCGGTTGGTTGGCTGGTTGGCTGGCTGTCGTGTGGGCTGGAGACACTGCAGGAGAAACCAGAGGAGACAGGAGTTAAAGGACATGCAAAGAGTCACAAGGAGTAAAGTTCAGAACGTTATACCAACGACGAAGGCCAGGAGATGCGTCTGTACCGCTAGGAAGGGTAGACAATACTCAGGCGCTGAGACTGAGGGCTGCAGGCTTCTTAAAGTCCCTTGATTGGAGATGAGGAGCAGGTGTGTCGTCTCACTCAGCCTCAGCGCCGGGGGAGGGGAGGAAGCTCTGGAAAAGAGTACAGCCAGACCAGGCAAACAGGGAAAAACAGGAAGTCCAGCCAAAATAACACAGGATGAGGAGGCGTCTCACCACAGTACCCCCCCCCTTAACGAACGCCTCTTGGCATTCTGCCGGGCTTGTTGGGGTGGGCAGCGTAAAACTCTTCCAGGAGTTGGTGGTCCAGGATGAGGGAGCGGGAGATCCAGGAACGTTCCTCTGGACCGTAACCCTCCCAGTCCACGAGGTATTGGAAGCCTCGCCCCCGAGGCCGCACGTCCAGGATTTTCCTTACAGTGAAGGCAGGGTGGTCATCAATCAATCGGGGGGGTGGAGGGGCGACGGAAGGAGGGCTCAGGGTGCACGAGGCAACAGGTTTTAACAAGGAGACATGGAATGTGGGATGAATTTTGAGAGATGAGGGAAGTTTTAATCTCACCGCTGAAGGGTTGATGATTTTCTGGATGGGGAAGGGACCAATGAAGCGGGGGGACAGCTTGCGGGACTCGGTCTGCAGGGGAAGGTCACGAGACGATAACCAGACCATCTGACCAGGACGATAGTCTGGTGCTGGAGAGCGGTGAACGTCAGCCAGGCGTTTGTTGCACTCGGCCGTGCGGGTGAGTGCGGCCCTGGCCGATCTCCACACCTCCCGTAGACGCCCAATGTGCTCCCTCACCGACGGGACGGCCACAGGTTGCTCCTGTTCGGGAAACAGGGGGGGCTGAAGAGGTGAGGGAGTTATGGGCGTATTGGATCCACGGGAGGTGCGTACTCCAGGACGCTGGATGATGGGCCGCCACACACCGCAGGGCCGACTCGAGGTTCTGATTAGCCCGCTCCGTCTGGCCATTGGTCTGTGGGTGGTAACCCGAGGAGAGGCTAGCTGCTGCGCCCACTGCCTGGCAGAAAGCTTTCCAGACCTGAGAGGAAAAATGAGGACCACGATCTGACACGATGTCACGGGGAATCCCATGTAATTGAAATACATGAGTGACTAGGAGGTTAGCAGTTTGAAAGGCAGATGGGAGCTTGGGTAAAGGGACATAGTGAACAAATTTGGAGAATCTGTCAATGATGGTGAGTATGACTGTGTTACCTTCAGAGGGAGGGAGACCAGTGACGAAATCTAAGGCTATGTGGGACCAGGGGCGTGAAGGCACAGGCAGAGGACGCAGCAAGCCAGCCGGAGGTTGGTGGGAGGCTTTGCTTCGGGCACAGACAGAGCAGGCAGCAACAAACGCCCGTACGTCCCGGACCATCCCCGGCCACCAGAACCGCTGCTGGAGGAATTGGAGGGTACGTTGAAACCCGGGGTGGCAGGTGAGCTTGGAGGAGTGCCCCCACTGTAGGACCTGAGAACGTGCGACCTCAGGGACGAACTTTCTGTCCGGCGGGCCAGTTCCGGGGTCTGGGTGGTTCCGGAGGGCCTGGTCCACGATGGTATCGATCTCCCAGGTGGCGGAGCCGACGACACAGGAGGCGGGGAGGATGGTGTCTGGTTCACTGGGGTCCGGAGTATCCAAGGCGTGGATCCGAGAGAGGGCGTCTGGTTTGAGGTTGCGGGAGCCGGGACGATAGGAGAGGGTGAAATTGAATCTGCTGAGAAAAAGGGACCAGCGGGCTTGCCTGGGGTTGAGGCGACGAGCGGAGCGGAGGTATTGCAGGTTCTTGTGGTCTGTCCAGATTAGAAACGGTTGGGAAGCTCCTTCCAGCCAGTGTCTCCATTCCTGCAGTGCCCACACGACAGCCAGTAATTCACGGTTTCCCACGTCGTAATTTTGTTCCGTGGCTGAGAGTTTCCGGGAGAAAAAGGCGCAAGGATGAAGCTTCTGGGTCTGAGAGTCCCTCTGTGAGAGGATGGCCCCTACTCCAGAGTCCGAAGCGTCGACCTCCACCATGAACTGAAGCGAGGGATCTGGGTGTTTGAGCACCGGGGCGGAGATGAAGAGGGATTTGAGGTGATGGAAGGTGGCGTCTGCTTCGGGGGTCCAGGAGAATGGAACCTTTAGGGATGTGAGCCGGGTGAGGGGAACTGCGACCTTACTGTAGTTCTTAATGAACCGTCGATAAAAATTAGCGAAGCCGAGGAATCGCTGGAGGTCTTTGCGGGAGGAGGGGGTGGGCCAGTCACGGACAGCGCAGACTTTTTCTGGGTCTGGGCGTAGCTCCCCCTGGGCGATGATGTAACCAAGGAAACTGACGGAGGAGGCGTGGAACTCGCACTTTTCGGGCTTCACGAAAAGGCGGTTTTCGAGGAGGCGCTGAAGGATGAGTCGGACGTGCTGCTGGTGTTCCCCCAGGTTTCGGGAGAAGATCAGAATATCATCTAAGTAGACGAAGGCGAACTTGTTAATCATGTCGCGGAGGACATCATTAATGAGGGTCTGGAACACAGCTTACTGAATACCATTGCTAGGTCATGGTAGACGGGGGGAACCGAGGTGAGAGATGGCGGTGGAGATGCTGACCTCTGTCGGTGGATGTGAGGATTGGCGGAGCGGAGGCAATGGGAGTGACAGTGAGGGCTCCAGGCGGAGATTGAAGATGTGGACCAGTTAATCTGAGGGTTGTGGATTTGTAGCCAAGGGAGTCCCAGCACCAGGGGAGAGTGAGGAGATGGAAGCAGGAACCGCCGGATGTCCTCCCGATGATTTCCGGAGAGGATGAGGGTGAGAGGAACTGTGCAGTGGGTGATGGAGGCTATAACTCTGCCATCGAGAGCGGTGACCTTACGGGGAGCCGGGAGTTCCTCCAGGGGGAGCTGAAGCCGCACTGCCAGTCCAGCATGAATGAAGTTATCATCCGCCCCAGAGTCAATAAGGGTTTGGAGGGAAGTGGACTCCTTTCCCCACAGGAGACAAGCAGGTACCAGGATGCGTTTGGGAGAGCTGGCAACGGAGGAGGTATGGCTCATCAGTGTGCCCTCAGTCACGGATGAGCCTGGCCGTTTAACTTGTTTGGGCAGTTGGTTAGAAAGTGACCGGCCTGGCCACAATAGATGCATAGCCTCTTCTCTACCCTCCTTCTCCGTTCATCCGGGTGAAGCTTAGTGTGGCCGATCTGCATGGGTTCACCTGCAGATGGCGCCGGATCCGGGAAGACTGAGGGCTGCAGAGGAGACCCGCTGACCGCAACAGAGGAAGGGGAGTCTATTCTAGGGACTAAGGAATGGTTTTTCTTCTCCCTCCGTCTCTCCCTGAGGCGATTATCAATTCTAATAGCTAGCGCTATTAGCTCCTCCAGGGAGGAGGGCTCATCACGAGTCGCTAGCTCGTCCTTCAATTGTTCAGAGAGACCCCGAGTGAATATCCCCTTTAACTCGAGGTCCCCCCACCCACTCTCGGCCGCCACAGTACGGAACTCAATGGAGTATTCCGCCACTGACCGAGAGCTCTGGGTGAGGGAAAATAGCCGTTTGGTACACTCGGGGCCCTCGACAGGAAAATCAAATATTCTCCGGAGCTCTTCGGAAAAACGGGCGTAAGAAGTGAACAGAGGTGAGTCCCTATCCCAGACGGCTGTAGCCCACTTAGCGGCCCTACCTCTTAACAGATTGATGTGTAAGCGACCTTAGCTCGATCTGAGGGGTAGCTAATGGGCTGTTGGTCAAATACTAAGGCGCAACGGAGCAGGAAACCTCTGCAGCCCCCAATCTCCCCAGCATACGGCTCAGGAGGAGGGACATAGGGCTCTTTGAGGGTAGCGGGTGGTGGAGGAGGTGAAGAGGGGACCGTACTCACAGAGGGGGGGAATCCTGGTTGTTGTGGTGGAGGCCGAGGGAGTAGTTGCTCCGCCAGCTGCGACATTTGAATGGAGAGGCCATGAAGCGACTGATGGAGACTCTGGAGCATCTCCTCATGTTGGCCAATCCGCGTGCCGAGCTTCTGGACGGCTAGCTGAACTCGGTCTGGGTCTGTTGGGTCCATTCTCCTGGCCTGAGTATTCTGTTGTGAGGCAGGCTTGTAGTGAGGACCCAGAAGCAGACACTGAGACAGAGCTCAACGTAAAACGAATTTAATGTCCAAAAACAGAAAGGGATAGATAAGGGAACAAAGGAAGTCCGGTTGGTTGGCTGGTTGGCTGGCTGTCGTGTGGGCTGGAGACACTGCAGGAGAAACCAGAGGAGACAGGAGTTAAAGGACATGCAAAGAGTCACAAGGAGTAAAGTTCAGAACGTTATACCAACGACGAAGGCCAGGAGATGCGTCTGTACCGCTAGGAAGGGTAGACAATACTCAGGCGCTGAGACTGAGGGCTGCAGGCTTCTTAAAGTCCCTTGATTGGAGATGAGGAGCAGGTGTGTCGTCTCACTCAGCCTCAGCGCCGGGGGAGGGGAGGAAGCTCTGGAAAAGAGTACAGCCAGACCAGGCAAACAGGGAAAAACAGGAAGTCCAGCCAAAATAACACAGGATGAGGAGGCGTCTCACCACACACATATTCTGTTGTTATCCATGTGTATTCTGCATACTCACATCATTTACACATACTCATTCCAGGTAGATGGAAACAGGTAAAGGAAATGGTTAATTATTTTTTGAGCAAAATAAAACATGTGGTTGATTGTCATGTAGAGTGGGTCAGTGAAAAGCTGTTAGATTTAGAAGGTTCACGGTGAAGGTCGCCAGCGGGAGGGGCCGCAGGGGAATTTCCTGCTCAAAGCAGCCAGCAGGTTTTCGCCCCTGCCAGATGTGAACCAAGTCACAAGTGATTTAAGTGTTGTGTTTATGAAAATGTAACATTCGTGATAACAAGCATGAGTTGGATTGGTTTGAAAACATACATATGCATCTGTAATCAATCTAGTAGTATCATATCACATAATGTTGTCATAACTCATTCATGTAACGTAACTAAGGCTTGAATCTCCAACGGCGTCATTGAACTCGTTTAATCTTGAAAAGATTCAAAGGGGGAATATGTGGGGGAAAATAACAGATATGGTTGGATGTTTTGGAGGTTGCTATGAGGCAAGAAAACAGGATATGGTGGGAGAGGTCAGGTTGGGATAAACTTTATCAGGTCATGGTGAACTGTGTTGCAATAACATAAACTTTATCGGGTCATGGTGAACTGTGTTGCAATAACAGGAATTGGCTTCAGAGATAGTGGCAAGGGAGAAGTCACGTAGGGAGCTCTCCCACGGGAAAGTGATACACACACGAAGGTAGCTTCGCACACACATTTGGCAAAAGTTGAGATCAGTGACGTCAGAGGAGTACTATAAGAGATCTGTGGTTTTTCTGTTCTGGGTTCTGTCTGTTCGATTGTTCATGAGCTGTTTTTGATGCTGTGACAAGAATAAAATCCCGCGAGAGGCTGCCAGCTTGATTCTGTCTTCGTGTAGTTCATTCCTGAATTTTTGCACCGAGGTCATCTTCTAAAAGTCTCACTGCAACCTCTAACCAAACTCAAACACACAAGTGACTGACAGCATGGAGCAGGAGAGCTGTAGGCCCCTCACAGTTTTTTTAATTTATAATGACACAGCCCATGGTCCATAGCAGAGCCCAGAGGAGTTTTTGAGAAAAGAGTTATTTTATTTTTCTCACCCTTCCCCTTAAAAACAAGATCAGAAAACGTCACATCACCATCAGACAGAAATGAGCATACATCAGTTTTTATCTGACCACTATCCAGGGAGCACTTTTGTACTCAACCTGACATTTTCATGACGGTAACATCATGTAAAGTAACATTTATAGAATTAAAAAGAGAGTTGATAAAGAGCTACAGGTGAACCAGGACTTTCCTGCTGTGAAGGAAATAAAATAAATAAAGCTGTAAAACTGAAAGAAAAAACAGGTCCCATTTTGGGTCCTTCTCTTTGGCTGTAAAATATTAAAGGACAGGTTAAAACATCCTCTCTGGACTCTGCTGTACGGCCCTTGTCAGTTCAACATTATAAATGTGTCACTTATTTTTATTTGTTTTTGACCTTTATTCAACCAGTTAGTCCCATTGAGATTAGAAATCTCTTTTACAAGAGAGAACTGGCCAAGGTTGCTGCCATTCAAAGTCAAAAGCCTGCATGAGTGTGACAAATATTCAGTGTGATAGCGAAATCTTTGTGGTTCGTCTGGGGTATGGTCTGTCTAAGGCTGCCGTCCACATTTACAACATCTGCTCACAAGCTGTAAATGAAGATCAGTCAAAGCTTGACTTCATAAGGATAAATTAAGCATTACAATTAGACTGCAGCCTCCCTCTGCTATAACAGAAACACTGAGCAAGTTTCACGGGAACCTTCAAAGACACACTTAAGAAATAACTCCAGGCATTAAAAATGAACAGTCTATGCTTCAACTGTTCTTTCATTCAAAGTGAGAAACACTTCAGACCAGCTCCTTGAAGTCTCTGCAGCAGGTGAAAGACATGTTCAAAGTTGCACTCAACAGGTACTCTGACTATAAATGGACGTCCCTGTCAGTGTCAGAAAACATCTCAAGAGACCTCAGGAACAAAACTTGTCTCAGCGTCTGTTTGGTCTCCATCATTTCTAATATGTCTCAGAATAAAGCCTGAGATGTTTTCCTCAGGAGTGAGACGCTCTCCAAAGTGTCTCAGTTATTTCAGATATTTATTCAAGCAGCTCAGGAATCCCTGCTCGCTATGGTGGAGTATCTCTGAGAGCTGCGTTTAATGCAACACCTGCTCAGAGGCGTGCATAATGTTCAAGGAGATGCCAGATTACTGCACATTGAGCAAGGATGATGTCATTGGCCTGCAGTGTTGACTCGCAGGTTTGTGATGTTACTGTATTCGCCACATTGAGTCTACAGCCAGTCACATCTCGCCTGCACTACAGCCTCATGGGAACCTGGGGCCTATTCTACGATGCAGGATTACTGCTTAGCGAGGTAACTTTGAGGGTAAGTTCGGGGTTTCCTGTTCTACAACTCGGGTTCACTTCTTAGCGAGGCGAGTCTCCATGGCAACGTACGCTGAACGGCTAAACTGGTCTGGGGCAGGTTAGGTTCCAGATTGAACTCACCGAGTATAAAAACCCCGCCCACTGACCAATGAGTTCTATCGAAAAATTGCTTGTCCATTCTTGGAGGATCCTATGGACCTCGGTGCTCGCATTGTCTGAGGAGCACTCCGGCACGCGAGAGATTTCAGGGACCACACGGACCCATTCACTTTTCTGGATGACCACCTTTATGAAAGGCTCATATGGCCTACATATCACACAAAAAATGTAAACACGATAGGAATGAACAAATAAATGAATTCATCTTGGAAATGAATTAGTCATGTCTGGTGCATGTTAAAAGCGCATGTTGAACAGTGCTATTTTAGGGTGATAATGGCAAGATTTTTTTGCACACTATACTTACGCATTGAGAGTGTCTGCAATATTCTGCCAGCATTCCTTCCGTGCTTTTGCAGCGGAAACGGTGTTGCTTTTGAGGTGTATGATAGATTTGAATTCTTCATACTTTCTCATGATCGTCTCCTGCTCCTCGTTTGTAAAGTACGTGGTCCTTCACTCTCCGGCCTGCTCTGACGCTCCAGACTGGTCCATGTTCGCGATTGGTCAGATGTGGCGGGCTCTGCCTTACATGCGTGCACGCGCTCATAGCAAAGCTGGATCCACCAACAAGGTTGATAACCAGCGCCGTAAGACCGTTTAGCGACCGTTTAGCAACCGTTTAGCGACCGTTTAGCGACCGTTTACCTCGCTAAGTTCAGCAAGGTAGCTCCAATGCTACCTCGCTAGGTTGAACCTGCTTCGTAGAATAGGCCCCTGATAACAGCCTGCAGCTTGTTTTTGGTGGTGTTTTTAACACTCCAGCAAGACCTCAGCTTCCTCTGCTGGAGAGATAGAGTCCTTGGGCTCTATTTTCGTGTCCACCGGTGAGGCGGTGGAGGGTGGCAGACCCTGTGCAGTGGTATTTTTGTCTGGCTGAGCCCGGCATACAGCCAGTTTGGTATTTTCGTAGACTGAGGCGCACCGAGGTCCACCAAGCTGGGCATGGCGGTGTGGCAGGGGGAGGTGTCAATAGAATCAGCTGCCGCAGTAAAATTTTCATGCTCACCGGTGGCGTATAAAGTGTGCTGAAAGCTTGCCGATCCAAACCTGGTTAGTTTTAAGCGCAGGCAGAGCGCAGTTGGTCTAGTGGTATACTTCACCGATGCCTCACCGGCAGGTTTCCACAGTGTCAGGCACATTTTAGTGCAATAAATAATCATCAACAACTTATAATCTGAGTCAGCACATACATTTAGATCTATATAGATATATTCTGATCTATATCTGTGTGGTGAGACGCCTCCTCATCTTGTTTTATTTTGGCTGGACTTCCTGTGTTTCCCTGTCTGCCTGGTCTGGCTTTACTTTCTTCCAGAGCTTCCTCCCCTCCCCCGGCGCTGAGGCTGAGTGAGACTACACACCTGCTCCACATCTCCAATCAAGGCACTTTAAGAAGCCTACAGCCCTCAGCCTCAGGGCCTGAGTATTGACTACCCTTCCTAGCGTTAAAGACACGTCTCCTGGCCAACCTCGTTTTTATCAGAACTTAGCTCCTCGTGACTCTTTTCATGTACAATAACTTCCATCTCCTCTGGTTTTTTCCTGCAGTGTCTCCAGCCCACGCGACAGCCAGCCAACCAGCCTACCGGACATCCTCTTTTGCACTAACAACCTCTTGTTTGGACATTAAAATTCACTTTAAGTTGATCTCAGTCCCAGTGTCGGCTTCTGGGTCCTCACAACGAACCAACCACACTACAGAATACTCAGGCCAGGAAAATGGACCCAGCAGACCCAGACAGAGTTCAGCAAGCCCTCCAGAAGCTCGGTACTCAGCTGGGTCAACATGAGGATATGCTCCAGGATCTCAATCATTCTTTTCAAGGCCTCTCTGTCCAAGTGGCGCAGCTGGCGGAGCAACTACTCTCTCGGCTTCCACCGCAGCAAACAGGATCTCCCCCCTTTGTGAGTACGGTCCCCTCTTCACCACCCTCTATCCTCAAAGAGCCCTATGTCCCTCCTCCTGAGCCGCATGCTGGGGAGATTGGGGGCTGCAGAGGTTTCCTGCTCCGCTGCGCACTAGTCATCGACCAACAGCCCATTAGTTACCCCTCAGATCAGTCTAAGATAGCCTACACTATTAATTTGCTAAGAGGCAAAGCCGCTAAGTGGGCTACGGCCGTCTGGGATCATGAATCCCCTATGTTCTCCTCATATGCCCGGTTTTCTGAGGAGCTTCGTAAAATATTTGATTTTCCTGTCAAGGGTTCTGAAATTACCAAACGGTTGTTCTCCCTCACCCAGAGCTCTCGGTCAGTGGCGGAGTACTCCATTGAGTTCCGTACAGTGGCGGCCGAGAGTGGGTGGGGGGAACTCGAATTAAAGGGGATATTCACCCGGGGGCTATCTGAACAATTGAAAGACGAGCTAGCGGCTCGAGATGAGCCCTCTTCCCTTGAGGAGCTAACAGCGTTAGCCCTCAGAATAGATAATCGCCTCAGGGAGAGACGGAGGGAGAAGAAAACTCATTCCCCGGTACATAGTATAGACTCCCCTTCCTCTATTGCGGTCAGCGGGTCTCCTCTGCAGCCCTCAGTCTTCCCGGATCCGGCGTCCTCTCCCGGGGAACCCATGCAGATCGGCCGCACCAAACTACACCCGGATGAACGGAGATGGAGGATAGAGCTGAAGCTCTGTGTTAATTGTGGCCAGGCCGGTCACTTTTTGGCCAACTGCCCGAATAAGTTAAATGGCCAGGCATCAGTGACAGTCGGCACCCTGAAGAGCCACACCTCCTCTGTTCCCAGCTCTCCCAGACGTAACGCTGTTCCTGCCTGTCTCCTGTGGGGGAAGGGCTCCACGTCGCTCCAAACCCTTATTGACCCCGGGGCGGACGATAACTTCATTCACGCCGGACTGGCAGCGCGACTTCAGCTCCCCCTGGAGGAACTCCTGGTCCCCCGTAAGGTCACCGCTCTTGATGGCAGAGTGATAGCCTCTATCACCCACTGCACTGCTCCTCTCACCCTCATCCTCTCCGGTAACCATCGGGAGGACATCCGGCTGTTCCTGCTTCCCTCTCCTCACTCTCCCCTGGTGCTGGGACTCCCGTGGCTGCAGATCCACAATCCCCAGATCAACTGGTCCACAGCGTCAATCTCCGCCTGGAGCCCTCACTGCCACTCTCATTGCCTCCGCTCGGCCCCTGTGCTCAGACACCCGGATCCTTCTTTCCAGTTCATGGTGGAGGTCGACGCCTCGGACTTCGGAGTGGGGGCCGTCCTCTCACAGAGGGATACCGAGACCCAGAAGCTCCATCCTTGCGCCTACTTCTTCCGGAAATTCTCAACCACCGACGAAAGCACGACGTGGGAAACCGTGAGTTGCTGGCTGTCGTGTGGGCACTCCAAAAATGGAGACACTGGCTGGAAGGAGCGCAACACCCATTCCTCATCTGGACTAACCACAGAAACCTTCATTACCTCCTTTCTGCTCAACGCCTCAACTACAGGCAAGCCCGCTGGTCCCTCGTCCTCCGCAGATTCACCTTCACCATCTCCTATCGTCCCGACTCCCACGACCTCAAACCAGACGCCCTCTCTCGGACCCACTCCTCGGTTACCCTGGACCCCAGCGAACCAGACACCATCCTCCCTGCCTCCTGTGTCATCGGCTCCACCTCTTGGGAGATCGACAACATCGTGGGCCAGGACCTCCAGAACCACCCAGACCTGGGAACTGGCCCGCCGGACAGAAAATTCGTCCCTGGGGTTGCACGTTCCCAGGTCCTACAGTGGGGGCACTCCTCCAAACTTACCCGCACGGCCGAGCGCAAAAAACGCCTGGCTGATGTGCACCGCTTCCCAGCACCAGGCTATCGTCCCTGTCAGATGGTCTGGTTATCGTCCGTGACCTTTCCCTGCAGACCAAGTCCCGCAAGCTGTCCCCCCGCTTCATTGGTCCCTTTCCTATCCAGAAAATCACCAACCCTTCAGCGGTGAGATTGAAACTTCCTTCATCTCTCAAAATTCACCCCACATTCCATGTCTCCTTGATAAAACCTGTTACCTCGTGCACCCTGAGCCCTCCTTCCATCGCCCCTCCACCCCCCGGTTGATTGACGACCACCCTGCCCTCACTGTACGGAAAATCCTGGACGTGCGGCCTCGGGGGCGAGGCTTCCAATATCTCGTGGACTGGGAGGGGTACGGTCCAGAGGAGCGTTCCTGGATCTCCCGCTCCCTCATCCTGGACCACCAACTCCTTGACAACTTCTACGTCGCTTACCCCAACAAGCCTGGCAGAACGCCAAGAGGCATTCGTTAAGGGGGGGGTACTGTGGTGAGACGCCTCCTCATCTTGTTTTGTTTTGGCTGGACTTCCTGTGTTTTCCTGTCTGCCTGGTCTGGCTTTACTTTCTTCCAGAGCTTCCTCCCCTCCCCCGGCGCTGAGGCTGAGTGAGACTACACACCTGCTCCACATCTCCAATCAAGGCACTTTAAGAAGCCTACAGCCCTCAGCCTCAGGGCCTGAGTATTGTCTACGCTTCCTATCGGTAAAGACGCATCTCCTGGCCAACCTCGTTTGTATCACTATCAGAACTTTGCTCCTCGTGATTCTGTGCATGTTCAGTAACTTCCGTCTCTTCTGGTTTTTTCCTGCAGTGTCTCCAGCCCACGCGACAGCCAGCCAACCAGCCTACCGGACATCCTCTTTTGCACTAACAACCTCTTGTTTGGACATTAAAATTCACTTTAAGTTGATCTCAGTCTCAGTGTCGGCTTCTGGGTCCTCACAACGAACCAGCCACACTACAATCTGATCTGATGAGCGCATTTGGCACGTGTTTGGACACACAACCTGACCGAATTAACACAGCTGAAACCGCATTAATTAAATTAAATATCTAGTAAATAAACACACATGATGAAGTTAACAAGATATGTAATTTGTCTCCCTCCTTTTCTTTCTTCCTCTTCCTCTTATTTCTCGTGCAGCTCGACCTGGACATGTCTCTGTGTCCTCTCCCTGTCCTGCTGCAGCAGCTGCTGCTGCTGCGGCTGAACAGATGATTTGTTTCAGTGATCAGATGAGTTATTTACTTTAAGCCTACATACGAATATTATAATATTCAGTTTTGTGAGCCAAATTTTTTTTATATGCCAACATCTATGAAAGAAGGAGCCAGGCCACGGAGCGCGATGCGTCCTTTACGCACAGATGGTTCCAATTTTAATGCCATTTTTGGAATTTATAATGTGATCTCTGCGCACAACCCACTTTTGTCATGTGCGGTTTCAATAGGTGCAACTTTATGTGAGTGTCTTTATTTGTGGAAAGGGTGTTTGTCTTACTTGTGGGTCCAAAATTACACACACCAAATCCATCTGTGCTTGTATGAGACAGTGTGAAGGACACCCTCTGCAGCGTTTACAGCGACACTTGTTGAGCAGCTGCCTTCTGTCGCCATCGTGTGGCATTGCTGTCTACAGACATCTCTTGATCTCTTTGACTACTTCACTAAAATTGTAATACACCTCGCCGGTAGCGGATTTAAAGGCGAGGAGAGGAGCTGATGTTATTGCTCAATACAGGTCTCGGCTGTGTTAAACCCACTCCATGCCCTCTCTCCTCCCTCGCTATGACTTACGCCGCTTGGAGGAGCTGAGATAGGGAGGGGGGATACTTACGCCGGGCTGCGCTGCTCACCAAAATACCAAATTGTGCTTGGGAACGTCTTGTCGGTGCAGCGGACCTGACTTACGCCACGCCTGCGGCACGTCTCCGGTGAGGCACAAAAATAGAGCCCATGATGTGACACATAGAATATATGTTGTCACATTTTATGTTATTGTGTATGTTGTCTTACATTCAAGAGACTATTTTCATTATAAGAAAAGTAGAGTATGAGCCATAAAGGCAAGTACTTGTCCTGGTAAGAGCTTAAGAGTTCAATGTAATTTAATCTGTGCACCCTGCCAGTAGGGGGCAGTGCGGGGCTGTGCTTCTCCCCTAGGACGTTCTTGGTAACGAACTCTTGCGCTGCTTCCTCAGTCAATGGAGCAAAGCTGCAGTGAACAGAAGCACCGTCGCCTGTCTCATCTTTTCCTCCTGTTTTGTACAGGTTTGTAATGAATGCATATGTGCATAAAAGTTAGAAAAATGATGCCGTTTCACACTAGATATGAGTATACAGTTTTGAAAAGTAGTTCAGGTGTATTGGGTTATGAACAAGAAAAGATAACTTTCTCTGTATGTCGCGGTTCAGCCAAAATGGCACGAATAAGTAAAATGTCATCCTATGAGAATGAAAGTGGTTTAGTTTCGGCTCCAGAACACTTAATTTGGTATTAAAATACGGTTTATGTGGTAATGCTTTGTTATAAAGACAAATGTTTTAGCTATCACAGTTGCTAATGTGTGTTTTGAATGTCATAGGTATGCTAAAAGATGACGGTTTCCAGTCTTCAGCTCCTGTACTTTTGTATAAATAGCTACATGCTTACCTTGGTTGTTTAAGTGTGTGAATAAACTCAATGGAGTTATCAGATTTAAACTAGTGTTTTGCTTTTAAAGCTTTGAACTTTTTGACCTGAAGTCTAAGTTCTGTTTCATTATGGATGATGGGATTTCACATAGATGAAACAACTTTGAAAACAGTTAACAGAGCACTGAAAATTTTAAGAAAGTGTAAATGCTTTTGGTATGTGAAGAATAAAGTCAAAGGAGCGAAGCTGCAGTGAACAGAAGCACCGTCGCCTGTCTCATCTTTTCCTCCTGTTTTATACAGGACCCTAATCTGTTTGTAGGACCCATTCTGGGGTCTGTAACACTAAGTAAATAAAAACATTACATTTCCTCTGATGTGTTTTATACAGAGCTCTAACAGCCAGTGTATTTTCAAACAGGGCATGTGAACATGTTTTATTGCTCCATGCAGAAAAAGTTATAACTGTGGCAATAGCCTACTGTGGTCTGATACTTATCCTTACATGAAAGTCTAGAACCTACATTTAGACTATAGTCGAGTCTGAGAGGTGCTTTGCTCTCTGTTTGAAGTCTATGTAGTATCAACCAATCGGGTGTGGGCAGGAAAAAACATCTACAGAGAGCAAAAGTTAAAAGAACACAGTCCACTAAGATGACCTCCAGCTTCAGTACAAATTGATATCTGCATCAAGGTCAGCTAACAATCTGTTCTACAGAAGAGATTTACACTGAGACACTAATCTGACTGATGCTGAGTCACTGAAGACAATCAGAGTTTAGATTTCTACCGACAAATAAACAGTAAACCAGAGTGAAGTCTCTGAGAGGCTATATACCGAGAAACTGAGATGCTCCACAGACAGATGAACAGGTTCCCCTCTGGAGGTATATTATTAGATTTCTCTGGCAGGTTATATCTCTTGGTATGAACACACAGCTGTTTTCTTAGATGCTTACTGGACTGTGAAGTCTTTGTTGCGAATCACTTACTGTGCTGGAATACATGAACAGCTGAACGTGGTTTTTGGAGGTATAAACCCTCATCAGAGGACAGTTTGGTTTCCAGGGTTCAGTGTCTTATGTCCATCTACCATATGAAGCCGACTCAGATTCATTTGGCTTGTTGATGACTTATTTATAACCTTCAGCTTTGCAGCCATCACCATGATCCATTTGTTAAAGCTGACATTAGCATAGATAAACTCCCACTCTGTAAAGTAACTGACTTACAGACAGAGAAGTTCATCTCATGTGATCCATTTTTTGTATTCAGGAAAACTTCTCTTTTAAGGAAGAAACTCTCAATTCTGTGTTTCTTATTTCTTTATGAACCTATAATGTGACACTATGAATAATCAGAAGGCAAAACCACTGAGTCTGTGTTCATTAAATCCTCCAGCTCCTCTCTTTATTTCTATCCATACCTGATTATATAGAGGAAATGTAACACACCAAACAGAAGCCACCGTGAATCAATAGAAAGATGACATTCAGTGAGAGAAGTCCTGTTGTTATGGAGTTGTGTTATGTTGTTATGGATGCTGGCACACTTATGGTTTGTTTGTGTGTGTGTGTGTGTGTGTGTGTGTGTGTGTGTGTGTGTGTGTGTGTGTGTGTGTGTGTGTGTGTGTGTGTGTGTGTGTGTGTGTGTGTGTAAACACTGTGTAAATATGCTCTGGAATCTAAAATCACAAAGACCTCTAACATGTTGCATACAGCTGCTTAAGAATGACTGTAGTATGTGTTAACCATTTCAATTCATAACTAACATGGACTGATGGGCTTCCTTGATCACGGCACCTGTCACTGCTTGAATGCAACAGAAGGAGTTGCTGACATTTTATCTCCACAACTGGACACAAAACACGAGCAAACTCTGTAGCTGATTTTCTCTGCAATACTCCACCTACATTTCAGTTGGCAGTGTGATTAATGTGCTTTTCAAATCCCCAGTTTTCACACTAACTCCATCCTCTTCTTGTTTTTTTCCACATAGGGAACCATGGCACATGAATCAGAGTGTATTATGTTGGAGTTGGAGCTGGTAGATGTGCAGCAATTGGTACACTGCAAATGTTTCAGAGAACAAGTGGAGGAAATGAAACGTTTGGGGCGGTGATACTTTAGATTTTTAACACAAAAGTCTGAATCAGGCTTTAATAAACAGTTACTGTCATTACACCAATAATCTGCAGAGTCAGGCTGCCAACTGCCTTGTCGCACTGACTACCAGGCCATGATTTCTATCTGTGCAGCTTCATAAGAAGAGCTTTTTCTATCCAACAGATGTTTACTGAGGTCCAAAGTGATGCATGGAGAGCTTCTTTTATACAACAGGCCAGAACCCAGCCTAAAACTGAGCTGAGGACAGCTGCAGCAGAAACTCCTTTTGCCAAGTTGGATTTGATTCAAGTCATGAGTAAAGTGACTTTCAAACTCCTGGAGGTCCATTAAGTCAGACCTCCTTCCATATGGTTACTGTTACAGCATGTGTGAATACACACCTGAGTATCTAAAGATTTTTTTACCAGCAGACTCTGCTGTAAGGTCACTGACTCTCAGCCCCTGCTGTCACTGTCCGTGAGTCACTTTCCTGAGAGGAGTTCATGATCAGGAAGCTTCTGACAGGGATTGTTTTTCATTTCATCTGCACAAGAACAAACCGGGGTCCTTCAGTTCATACTGAAACCAGCTGAAGCTACCTCCACACAAACCCAGATAATTAAAAACAGATTTCTCTGTTTCTCAAAAAATGTCCCACCCAAGCCAGAGAGCATTTCTCTGTCCATGTGACAACACAGACCTAGGCACACCACACCTTCAGCTAATGATACTGTGTAATAATTATTTAATCCTCACAGTCTTCACTTTTTTTTATGATTCCTTGACATGATTTTTGGTAATTAAAACTTTATGATCTCTTCAGGGAAGTAAAAAGTTTTAACTGAGAAAAGAAACTTCAGATTGGTGAAAGCTTTGGACAAAAAAAGGAGAAAAAGATTCAAGATTGATTGATTAATTGATTGATTGGCTGATTGATTGACTGATTGATTGACTTGGTCACTACTTTCCAGTCTTAGACCACTGACGCATAGAATGATAAACTGATGATGATGTTTTGACTGTACATCTTTATCATATGAAGGATTTCGTCCACTCAGCTATAAATAAATATATTCAGGTGGGGGGTTTGTTTTACAGGTGGAGCAGGAGAAGAGGTTTGGATCACAGGTCTAGGAGGATGGGCTTGGATTGAAGGTGGAGGAGGATGGCTTAGTTCTGGTTTTCCCCTTCTCCCTCATCTCTCTCCAATAGTCCTCATTGTACCTCTGAAGTTCACTGGAGAGCCTGGTGTTTTGTTGGAGCTGATGTGTGAGTTCAGCCCCTCATCCTCTCCAGCTCTGTCTTTTTCTCCTGGCCTCTCAAGCAGTATGGTCAGCTGTTGTGCCATTTGATGTTGGAAGGCGCCATGCTCAGCCCTCAGACTCCACACAGTCTTTCACAGTTTGTGAGACTTGATTTTGGTCTCAAACTGACACTGCTGGACTTCCGTTTGCTGCCTGAGGGTGAGGGTGTCAGACTCAGGCTTCAGCCTGAATTCGTGATGAGCAGTTTTGAACCTCTCCATTTGTGGATCAGGCTGGTTGTGCTTCTCCTCCCCTGGACACAGCTCTGAAATCTCCCAGGTTTCCATGATGCAAAGCCTGGAGCTCCTCACAGTCATTTTGGAGGACCATCTTCGACCATTCATCTCCTCCTCCAACAAAAACACTTGTTGTGAATAGCTGCTACATAAAGATGAATGGATTTTTCTTCTACTCTTCAGACACAATGATCTGCCTCACACACACACACACACACACACAAACACACACACACACACACACACACACACACACACACACACACACACACACACACACACACACACACACACACACACACACAAACATCAGCTCTGATTAAATCACGTCCTGGTGACTGTAAGTGACAGTGTTTTCCTGGATCACAGTAGGTAACTGGACTCTTTCTCTGGTATTCTGGCCCTTTCTATGGCTGATGTTCAGTCTGCTCTTTATTCCATATGTTTAGGAAGAGAGACAACCAGACAAATGTCTGCTGGGACATCCTGCACGAAGGTGAGGGGCTCTGCTGAAGGTCATTCAGCTGTACTGATGTTATTGTTATATATACTGTAAATTTATGAAAAATGCTAAAGCTGCTCATAAGAGCTTTCTCCACCTGGATTTGGAAAAAGCTCTGTCCCTTAGAAATTACACTAACACTAACTAACCAGGCTGTAAGCTGTAAATTGAGAAATGCGAATGAGTCTTGAACACAGAATAGAAACAGTCGAATAAAGAGAAAGCTGAAGCCGCTAGGGATCTGTTTCCTGAGGGACAATTAGCATTCAAATGAGGTCTAAATGCAGCTTTTAGGAGAACAAAGCTGCTGTTAGCACCAGAGGAGGACTCTGAGACCGGCCTGATGTGTGTACAGCTGAATACACACTATCCACACACACAGCAGCTAGGTTCGCCAGCTCATCTTCTTCACCCGCCGTCTGATGAAGGAGGCTCCACGGCTGCTGCTATCTGCCCTGACAGCTTCAGTCATGGCCTTGCAGGGTAATGCTGTGGGACTGCCTCAAACAGCGTACGTCAAACTGAGTGGTCCGTGCCCCCCCACCCCAACAGATCAAGCCTCATTTGCTCTTTGTTCATACAAAGATAGAATGGAGCTGAGCGCCAATGCCATCACATCCACTGACTGCAGGCTCTGTGTGTTTGTGTGTGTGTGTGTGTGTGTGTGTGTGTGTGTGTGTGAGAGAGAGAGAGAGAGAGAGAGAGAGAGAGAGAGAGAGAGAGATTGAGAGAGAGAGAGAGAGAGAGAGAGAGAGAGAGAGAGAGAGAGAGATTTTGATTTTTGAATCTGTGTGTTTGATTGTTTGATTTGCCCACTTTTTTTCAAAAAAGAGGGCAAATCAAACAATCTAACACACAGAGTCAATAAATAAATAAATAAATAAATAGAAATTGAGCACATCTTCAAACTGTAAAATATTTCCTGCTATTGAACACAACACCTGATTAAAACCCCAAACCTGCTGAAGTGAGTCCAGATCTCCTCCTGCCTTGTGGAAATTAAAATCGATGAGGAGTCTGGACTTGATCATGTTCTTACAGACAGTGACTGGGTCAACAATAAAACCATCCTCCACCTTCCTCCTGCGGCTAAAATACACTGCCATCTTGGCCCGCCCTAAAACAAAATTTAAAAGCTGGCACTTGTTCTTGTGTTGGCGTGTGTATTTAAAACCCAGAATAAAAACCCGCTTGTTAAAAACCTCTCCACACTTGGTAAAAACAGTTTGTAAAAACAGAAACAAGGGTAAAAGACGAAGACATTCATAAAAACAGTGAAAAATTGTTTCTCTCTGTGGGCAGTAGGGACATGTGTCCTCTACTGCCGGGTTAATGTGCGATATAAAAGAGTTCACTGCTATGACCCCATGGAGGACTCTCCAGTGTACATCCGCATGTCTCTTCGAGAGTGGAGGTTTATAGAAGGCCCTCCACTCAGGCCTGGCCTCAGGAGCCAGGCTCAGATAGGTCCTCCATGGGGTGTCAGGTCTTTGGTTCAGTTTTTTCCTGTTTATTGTTTTCACCAAGATGTTATAAAAGGTTTTCCCAGTTGTGCCCTCCAAAGGGGCGGGGTGGTTAAAAACCAACAGCGGGCCAGAACAGTCCTTAAAATCCGGTGCCAGGAAGATGGCAGGAAAGGGGTTTTCTTTGTTCACGGTCTGGGTAAAAGGGGAGTATAAAAGCAGGCGGTCGTGTCCTGTGAGTCTCTGTCTCCAGTGCTCTATGAGTTTTTGGGTGACCCTCATCGATAAAAGTCCCAGCCGGGCAGCGAGTCCAGAGGGGTCGTCCATTTGGGGTCCCGTCAGATCCACCACCTGCCCCAGAGTGACGATCCCCGCTGTCTGTAGTTTTTTCTGTAGACTCTGTCCTGCCCAGCTGGGAAGGTCCAGACGGGTTCCCCACAGGACCGGTTCCTGCAGGAGCCAATATATAGAGTCCACCTGGCTCCTCCTCTCCTTCCTAAGCAGGCCCCAGACCTTAAAAACACTTTGATAAAATGCAGGCAGAGAAGATGTGCTCATGTTCTGTGTGTTCATTAAAAACAAATTAAAATCCTGACCCAGGCTGTTAAAACCCTGCAGAATGCAGCGGGACAAGGGCCTCCACAGAGTGTCCTTCGGCCCCGTTAGCAGCCTTTGTATGAATTGGAGCCTGAAGGCTGCGCCCCTGCTGGCCAGGTGGACCAGGCCCTGGCCCCCTTCCTCTTTTGGTAAAAACAGGACACTCTGTGGGACCCAGTGGAGTCTGTCCCAAATAAAATCAACTAAAAACGACTGAATCTTGGGAAGGAGAGAAGCTGGAGGATCGACACAAGCCAGCCGGTGCCACAGGGAAGATGAGACCAGATTATTTGCGATTAAGGTTCGGCCTCTGTACGACATTTTAGGGAGTAGCCACTTCCACTTCTCCAGCCGACCTTTAACCTGCTCTAGGACATTGTCCCAGTTTTTCTGTATGTAGGTCTCATCTCCTAGGAAGACCCCAAGGTACCGGAGTCCTCCTTTTTTCCACTGTAGGCCCCCGGGCAGCCTGAGCCGGCTCCCTCCAGCCATCAGAGCCTCGCTTTTCCCCCAGTTCACCTTAGCTGAGGAGATAAAACCAAAGTTATGAACAGTGTCAGTTAAAATGTCAATGTCTCGTTGTGTTTTTACTAAAACAATAAGATCATCAGCGTATAGGGACAGTTTAAAAGACACAGGGCACCGGGGGAAACTCACACCACTTAGTTTGTCTCTCAGATTGTGAAGCAGAGGCTCGATGGCAACTGAATATAACATCCCAGAGAGAGAGCAGCCCTGCCTCACCCCTCTCTGGATCCCAAAAGGTGCACTCAGCCCGCCGTTAATTTTCAGAACACTCGCAATGTCACTGTAGAGAACCCGGACCATGGCTATGAACCCAGGGTTGAACCCAAAGGCAGCCAGAGTCTGCCACAGGTACTGGTGTTCAACCCGGTCAAAAGCCTTTTCCTGATCTATGGAAATAAGACCAGTCTCTATACCCAATGACCTGGAGAGCTCCAAAATGTCTCGAATTAAAGTGACGTTGTCACTGATGAGCCTGCCAGGCACACAGTAGGTCTGATCAGGGTGGATGATGGACGCCATCACCTCCCTCAGTCTGAGGGTCAGAGCCTTGGACAGGATCTTATAAACCGTGCACAGCAGGGAGACACCCACCATCGCTCCCATGAGCAGGGAGACACCCACCATCGCTCCCATGAGCCAGACTGAATACCACACCCTATTTTAAACCAGGCCACAGCTAGGCCCCCAGTTCCTCTTGGGGAGTTCTCACATAAGCTTCAAATAAGAAAGTGAATAAGAAAGTGAGCGGCAAAGATGGCCGCAGCAGGGTGCTCAGGTGCGGGAGGCTCAGGCGGATGCGTAGCACTTTTGATTTACTGCTTTGTTTTAAAGTTTTTAGACACCGGGCCAAAGATTGTAGACACAGGACCGTATCTTAATGAGGGTTTCTCCCACGAACGGAATCAGATCAGCCTCAAACATTTCGGTTATGGCAGTTCCACACTGCTGTCCACCTTCCTGTATCCGAGCTGGCACGCAGCCCCGAAACGTCACGGCAAAACAAACGTCAGAACCGCATCCAAATGCCCCAACGCCGACGCAGCTATAATTGCCATCTGCCTTTTGATGTCCGGGGATATACATCAGTGTCCCGGCCCGTTTCCCACATGGGAAAGGAGTAGCGAACATGGCGACCTGCAACGCCGACAGGTACCGGAAAACACCGACAGGAGCACCGCTGCGATTCCTCTGGTAAGCGCGGCAATGACTGTGGCTAACGGGAGAGGAGACGGGAATGGGCTTACTGTTGGCTGCTGGCTACCGGGCGTGGAGGCTGGGTGCTCGGTGAGAGGTTCCGGGGAAGCGGCGGCGGCGGCGGCTGACGCAGTTGTCATCCGCGGCTTCGGGAGCGGTCCGGGCGGGGAGGTGGCGAACGGAGCGACTGGTGGCTCGGGAAACGATCCTGCACTTACAGCGACTGATCCTGCACTTACAGCGACTGAAACGACTCGCTATCACGGGAATGTGGTGACTGGAATAGTGCGGACAATTAGATCTAATCGCCGCATCAATAAAGCGATAATCAAACAACGGAAATTAAAAGTTTTCAAAACTGTAAACAATGCTAGGTTAATCTGGGACGCACGTAGTAAACCTAAAGGACTGTTAGGTGGTCACATAAATATCAGAAGCATTCTCTCTAAGTGTGAGCAAATACAGCATCTCCTACATGAATCAAATCTGGATTTTTTAGGTATTTCTGAATCATGGTTGAATGAAAATTCGCCGCACGCGGCTATAAATGTGCCCGGTTTTAACATTTTTAGGAATGATCGCAAATATGGAAAAGGTGGAGGCGTTATGTGTTACATGAAGGACACAATTAGATGTAATATAATTGAACTTGAAAACTGTGAATTGGAATGTTTGGGTCTAAATATTGTACTCTCACCAGAAATGTCCTTCACATTAATAGTTATTTATCGTCCGCCCTCATCAAATGTCAGCTTCTATGAAAAGTTTAGAGAACTACTGCAACAATGTGATTTTAACAAAGAGGTGATAGTAATTGGAGATGTGAATGTGAACTGGTTAGATAAATCCGCCCGAAAACAATTTAAGCAAGTAACAGACAGTTTTAATTTAACACAAATAATTGATGGACCAACCAGAATCACCAATTCATCTAACACGCAAATTGATCTAATTTTTAGTAATATGCCAGATAGAATAATGAAATCTTATAACCTCATAACTGGACTATCAGATCATAATTTGATTTTACTGACTAGAAAAGTAAATGGAAAGAAAAGTCCTACCTTTGGCCAGAACATGGACCAGAGTATGGACTCCATGAAGATACCAAAGAATAAAAAGGAAGATTTTAAAAATGCTGTGCAGAGTATCAAGTGGGATGATCTAATTAACTCTGATAATCTGGACTATACCAGCCAACACCTTACTGATAAACTACATAAGCTTATTAAAGACTTCTCAAAGAAGTCTAGAAATAAGAACAAAAGAGCCTCCCTGCCATGGTTAAATGACACCCTGTTTCAAATGATGAAAGAGCGTGATCAAGCCCTAAAAATATCAATGAAATCCAAACTCACGACTGATAGGTACAAATTTACATCATTAAGGAATAAGGTGACAAGAGAACTTAGAAAAGCCAAGGCAAACTACTTCCTTGAAATAATAGTAAATAACAAGGGAAATTCCAAAGTAATATGGCAGCAAATAAAGAAATTAACTGGACAAAATAATGCTAATAAACAGATTGAACTGATGATTAATGATACTCTAAAAAATGAAAAGATGGAAGTAGCCAAAGCCTTTAATCACTACTTTGTAAATTCTGTAGCTACCATCTCTAATAGTTTTCCCCTACACAAGCAATATAATATTAAGGCACCAAAGCCGAATGGGCCTATCTTCAACCTTGAAAGAGTGTCTGAAACTGAAGTTGAAAAGGTGATCGACTCATTAAAATCTAAATTGTCAAAAGATGTGTATGAAATGGACTCAACTATGTTAAAGAACCTTGCCTGCTCGTTGATCAAACCTATTACTCACATTGCGAATATTTCATTCACCCAGGGCCAGGGGTGTTTCCCAGAGTACTGGAAGCCAGCAGCGGTTATACCCATTTTTAAGAGTGCTGACCCCCACTTAGTTTCAAATTACAGACCGATAAGTATCCTCCCGGTTATGTCCAAGGTTGTCGAAAAACTAGCAGCAAACCAACTTATTTCTCATCTCAATGTTAGCCAGCTCCTCCATCCCATGCAACATGGCTTTAGAGCCCACCATTCAACAGAAACGGCAACCGTCTACTTCCTTGAAAGGGTGAAGTCACTAATGGATGGAGGGGGTGTAGTTGGCGCAATTTTTTTAGATCTTCGCAAAGCCTTTGATACAGTTAACCATAATGTTCTTCAGTCTAAATTTGATCAATTTAATTTTTCCCAGTTCTCTTCCAATTGGTTTAAATCATACCTCAGTAATCGATCTCAGTGTGTTAGAATACAAAATACAAAATCCACTTTTAAATATCTTAGCGCAGGTGTCCCCCAAGGTTCACTTTTGGGCCCAATTCTTTTTAGTCTTTATATCAACGACCTACCAACTGTATGTGAAGGCTGCGAAGTCCTTATGTATGCTGACGACACTGTGATCTTTGTAAAAGGTAAGGACCAAGTAGAGGTTGCTTTGCAGCTTACAAAGGTCATGGTGAAAGTCTCAAATTGGCTGAACAGTTGCCATTTACAACTTAACACCTCCAAAACTGTTGCTATGTTTTTTTCCAAAACAAACAAATCACATACTGAGCCTGATGTTTTTATTTCTGGACAAAGAATCCAAATTGTAAATGAATATACATATTTAGGTATCGTGTTAGACAGTAATCTTACTTTTAAACATCATGTTAAAAAAGTAAGCAAAATTCTTAAGGTCACACTTGGAAATTTCAGGCACCTCAGAAATCATATGTCAACAGAAGCGGCAAAAATGTACATGTTTTCTCTTATAATGTCCCATATTAATTATTGTTTACCCGTCTGGTCCACCGCAAACCCCACTACCTTAAACCCATTAATATCACTATACAAACAAGCACTCAAAACTCTGGATAAAAAACCAAGATCTTTTCATCATTGCACAATTCTTCAAAAATATAGGTTATTAAGCTGGAACAATCTTGTCCTTTTCAAAAACTGCTGTCTTACATATAAAATCCGTCATAGGGTAGCTCCGCCCCCACTCTGCAACCTCATACAGTTTAGATCTCCAACAACTAGTGGTACTAGAGGGGCGGCCAGAGGAGACTGCCAGATCCCACTTAGAAAATCTTTATTTGGTCAGTCAGTTTTTTCTTGTAGGGCAGGCAAGGATTGGAACACAATACCACAAAACATAAGAGAGTCCAATTCATACAGAGCATTTAAAGTAAATTTGAAGAGGTGGTTACTTGAAAACCAAACTTGTTACCATTAGTTAGTTGGCGTGCTTTCGGGTGGGTTATGTTGATGTTTTAAATATTGTGTATTATGTATGTTTTTATGTAGTTGCTGATTTCCCACCTTTTTAGGTAGCCATGTTCCTTCTGGCAGGGGGACTACCAATGGAAATTAGCCTTGCGGCTACAATTGGGTCCATTTACATTTTATCTTTTTAAAATGTTCATTAATGTACACTGTCCCTCTTTAACAAATAAAAAGGAAACGAAACGAAAACGAAACTGGTCTCCAGTTTTTTAGCTCCTGCAGGTCTCCCTTCTTGGGCAGCAGGGTGATGACGGCCCTCCTGCAGCTCAGAGGTAGCCTGCCGGTCCTCAGACTTTCTGTCATGACCTCTAGCAGGTCTGGTCCTATGATGGACCAGAAAGACTTGTAAAAGTCAGCAGGAAGGCCGTCTATGCCTGGAGCTCTGCCACTCTGCAGGCTCATGGTGGCTGCGTGGAGCTCCTGCAGTGTCACCTCTGCTGCCAGTCTGTTATTTTCAGCCTCACTGACCTGAGGGAGACCCGCCAGGAAGTTGCTGTGCACTTCTGGATTATGCGACCACTCACTCTTAAAGAGGTTTCTGTAGTAGTTGGCAGCAAACTTCCTGATCTCAGACGAGTCTGAGACTTTGGAGCTGCTACCCGTTTGTAAACAGTGAATGGTCTTCCTTTGTCCATTTTTCCGCTCCAACCCAAAGAAGAAGCGAGATGGGGCGTCCATCTGTGTGATGTTCATGAAACGAGACCTGACCAGAGCCCCCTGTGCTGAGACGCCTAGCAGGTTGGCTAATGCCGATTTTTTGGACTTGAGGGAGTCTAAAAGCCCTTGATTTCCTGTAGAGTCTGCAGTAGTCTGCAGCTCTACCACCTGCGACTCTAGGTCTTTCATGGACCGAGCTAAGTCTGTAGTGACACCGCGAGTGAACTGCTGGCTGAGCTGTTTTATCTGGGCTTTCCCAAAATCCCACCACTGTTGAATGTTAGTGAAGGCAGGCCTGCTCTCTCTGTGGGATTCCCAAAAAACCCTAAAAGCAGTTCTAAAAGCCTGGTCAGATGAAAGGGCTGTGTTAAAATGCCAATAGGCGCTCTTTAAACGAATGTTTTTAATAAAAACACAACAGGAGACTAAAAAATGATCCGTAAAACCAACTGGCAGCATAAAACACCTTTTAAAAATGTTTAAATGGTGTTTAAAACAGTAAAAACGGTCCAGTCTGGCTAGAGTTAAAACCCCCTCCCTACTGTGACTCCAGGTGAACTGTCTGTGCTGACTGTTAAAAACCCTCCACACATCACTCAGCTCCTGACTCTCTGTCAGCCGCCGGAGTGTGTGTGATGAGGGTGGGTGTGGCTCAGGATGGTTCCTGTCCAGGGATGGATCAACTGTGCAGTTAAAATCTCCCCCTAAAAACATAAAACCATCGTTCTCACAGTCCCTAACACAGTCGTTTAAAATGTTTAAAAATGCTATTTGCTCCAAAGCATTAGTAGGAGCATAGACATTTAAAAACACACATTTTACATTCTCAAAGACAGCTTTCACCTTCAATAAAACACCTGGGATGATCTCATGGACGGTAAAAGAAAAGGGTAAAAAAACTCTGTGCAAATAAAATCCCCACCCCTCCGCTCAGACTGGACTTATGGCTTAAAACTACCTCCTCGTTAAAAGCCCTCTTCCAATCACTCTCGTTATCTAAGCTGCTGTGGGTTTCTTGGACAAAAATGATATCTATTTTTTTAGTCTCCATTAATTTAAAAAGAGCGGCGCGTTTAAAATCAGCCCTGGCCCCGTTTAGGTTTAAGGTACTGATATTAAAATCACACATGGATAAAAAATAAAAAACACTCAGGAGAACAGTCAGTGAAGGGTAAAAGCATCTAAAACTCATCTTCGTCACTGATGAATTGCTCTTTTACCCTCTGTAAAACCTTTTTGAGTCTGAAGACCTCTTGTTCTGTTAAAACCTCCTCCCCATGGCTCTTTCTGGTGAGGGGTCTGGCAGACTTCATAAAAGAGCGCAGGTCTGGGAAATACTCTCTTACATTGGGCAGCCTGGAGCCTTTAATCTGTGCCAGGAAGGTTTTGATCTGAGCCGGGGAGTACGGCGACTGAGAGTCCTGTGTAAAAGAGAAGTCACTCTCTGACTCTGGGGTCTTCCTCATGATCGGTTTTCTTGTTTTTTTGTTCTTTTTAACAGACTCAATATTTTTCCTTTTTTGAGACACTTTAAGCAGTTCGTCATCAGACATGCCTTCCTCCATAAAATCATCGCTATTCACTTTTCTCATGCTCTCGTCTGCCGAGTCTGAAAGCATGATCTCTTCTCGCTCCGAACAGCCCTCAGCAACCGGAGGAACCGAGACTGTGGAGGGCCCCTCCTGGGCCGGACTGACCGATTCTGCTGCTGTGACCCCGGTCACAGCAGCAACACTCAACTCTTCCCCAGCGGCCGCAGCGGCCCCGGCGGCCGCATCAGCGGCGGGCGGACCCCCCCCGGCGGCAGCGGCCCCCTCGGCCGCAGCAGCGGGCGGACTCCCCCCGACGGCAGCGGCCCCAGCGGCCACAACAGCGGGCGGAGCACCCCCAGCAGCAGCGGCAGCCGGCCGCTGTGCTCCCTCCTTCTCCGGACAGAAGCGAATCAGGTGCCCTTCTGCACCACAACTAAAACATTTCATCGTCTCTGACGAAGCGAACACAATATATACAAATCCTTCTATTTTAAAGGAAAACGACAGGTTTAAATCATTAGTCTCATCCTTCAGGATCATGTATACCTGTCTCCTGTGACACACTACGTGCTTCAGTTTGGGGGATTTACAGCCCAGAGAGACCACCTTGATCGGTGACACCACTTGTCCGTACCTGGACAGTTCTTTCGCTAGAGTTTCATTTTTAATAAACGGGGGAGCATTAGAGATAGTAACTTTTGTGGCTGGGCTAACGAGGGGGGAGACCGGAGTGAAGGTGTCGTGAATCACTACTCCTTTCTCCACCACCTCGTTAACCAGCACCGTACTGTTTAGAAAAATCACAATAGCCCCGTTCATTCGTGAGGCAGACTTCACCGAGTCATACCCGACCATCTCTCCCACAGCCAGGCTGGCTTCCTCCACCGAGCACTGCACCGCGGGGTTCAGCTTTATCGCATGCCGGCGAGTCAGCTTTTCGAACTCGGCGGCTGCAGCCTCTGCTACCGGCATTGTGCTGTTAGCACGCCACCCACCGAACAAAGCACTCACACACTCACACACTCAACAAACCACAACCCTCTTAACACTAAATAATAGACAAACAACTCATAAACACACTCACACCAAAAGAAAAGAGAAATAAAGTCTCAAAAACTCACAAAATTTGAATCAAAGTTCTATTCGCTCTCAGCTCTCAGCACTCACACGCCATCTCACTCAGAGAGAGAGAGAGAGCAGGAGAGAGAGAGAGAGAAAGATAGAGAGAGAGAAAGACAGGATCCCACCCAGAAGTTTTTTCAGGGATGATGAAAGCTGGTGTTTGTCTTTTTTCTGGAAAAAGTCTTTGCCAGCTCATTCACCTACTCTGAATTCAGTCACAGACGATAAAGTGTGTGTGTGTGTGTGTGTGTGTTTGTGTGTGTGTTTGTGTGTGCAGGCGCGTGCGTGCGTGCTAGTTGGTGGTGATGTAAACATGGAGCCACAGCTACCCATCGATCCTCCATCTTAAGAACTGCTGGTTTCTCAATCTGATATCAGCTTTGAATGTTTAAAACAAGCCGAAAAAGTCAATAAAAGCTTTTAAATGATCAAAGTTGTTAACTTGAGCTCTTTACTTGATAAAATATTGAGAATTTTTTTATATAAGCAGAAAGAAACAGAGCCAGGATATGGTAAGATATGGATAAGTTTCTGTGTCCTTAAACTTAATCAGAGTATGAAGTGTTGAACCTGCATGAGTTGAGAACATCAACCATTCCAGCACCCACACCTCCAAATGAGCACTTTAGACTCAGAGGTCTCTAAACCTGAGGAGCATTTCTCTGAAAATTGTAGTCCTGTTTGATCCAGATGCAGCTCGAAAAATCTAAGTAACTCTGTTTCAAGCAAACCTGGAGAAGTTTTTCATTCAGTCTTAATTCACCATGACTCCTGTCTCTTTGGTCTCACCCATCTCACCTCCAGCTGGTTCAGAGTGCATCAGCTCCTGTCCTGGCTTACCTTTATTAGTTCCCTGTACACTGTAGATTAGATTTGAAGATTTCACTGATCACTTTTGGAGCTCATCTCTCCCTGAGTTTCATTGTGTCTTGCGGCCCTCAGGTTTCGTCTCTCTGGTCAATCCAAAGTCACGGTTCAAGGAGAGGAGGAGATAGATCTGCTTCAATTCTATCATTCTCTATTAGCTATAATTCAATTTTTCATTGTGTTTAAAACTGACTGTTTATTTTCATTATGGTTGACTTCCTCTGTCTCCTCTGGCTGTTGAAGGCTTATTCAGTCCTCCCCCTGAGTTCTTACCTTTGTTTGGTCTGTAAAAGCACTTCATCCACTTTTGTTCATTAAGGTGCTGAATAAGAAAGTTGTATTACTTTGTACTGAAAAGATATCAAATCAAAATTATAGATTTAATGTTGGAAATGCAACAAAAACAGTTTGTAGATGACAGACTTCTTACTGTGTCTTTGTGATGTTGCACCTCTGCAACAGTGAACCTGTAATAATATCTTAAAAAAAAACAGACCTGAAGGATCTGTAGACTGAAGTCTTTGGGCTCTATTTTCGTGCCTTGCCAGAGACGTGCCGCAGGCGCGGCGTAAGTCAGGTCTGCTGCACCGACAAGGCGTTCCCAAGCACAATTTGGTATTTTGGTGAGCGGTGCAGCCCGATGTAAGTATCCTCCCTCCCTATCTCAGCTCCTCCCAGCAGCATAATTCGTAGTTAGGGAGGATAGAGGGCGTGGAGTGGGTTTAACACAGCCGAGACCTGTTTTCACCAATCACATAAGCTCCTCTCCTTGCCTTTAAATCCACCACCGGCGAGGCGTATTACTATTTTCGTGAAGTAGTCAAAGAGATCAAGAGATATCTGAAGACAGTAATGCCACACGATGGCGACAGAAGGCAGCTCCTCAACAAGTGTCACTGTAAGCGCTGAATTGGGCGTCCTCCACACTCTCTCATGTGAGCACAGATGGATTTGGTGTGTGTAATGTTGGACCCACTAGAAAGACAAACACCCTTTTCCACAAATAAAGACACTCACATAAAGTTGCATATATTCAAACCTCACGTGACAAAGGTGGGTTGAGCGCACAGATCACAACATAAACTCCAAAAATGGCATTAAAATCGGAACCATCTGTGCGAAAATGACACATCGCTCCGTGGCCTGGCTCCTTCTTTCATAGATGTTGGCATATTAAAAAAAATTGGCTCACAAAACTGAATATTATAATATCTGTATGTCGGCTTAAAGTAAATAACTGATCTAAGAACTGAAACAAATCATCTGTTCAGCCACTGCAACAGCAGCAGGACAGAGAGAGGACACGGAGACATGTCCAGGTCGAGCTGCACGAGAAATAAGAGGAAGAGGAAGAAATAAAAGGAGGGAGGCAAATTAAATAGCTTGTTAACTTCATCATGTGTGTTTATTTACTAGATATTTAATTTAATTTAATGCGGTTTCAGCTGTGTTAATTCGGTCAGGTTGTGTGTCCAAATGCGTGCCAAACGCGCTCATCAGATCAGATATAGATCAGAATATATCTATATAGATCTAAATGTATGTGCTGACTCAGATTAATGGTTGTTGATGATTATTTATTGCACTGAAATGTGCCTGACACTGTTGAAACCTGACTGTGAGGCATCGGTGATGTATTCCCATACGCCGCCGGTCTACCAAAATACCACTAGACCAGCTGCGCTCCGCCTGCGCTGAATGCTGACCAGGTTTGAATCGGTGAGCTTTCAGCGCACTTTACATGCCACTGGCGTGCACGAAAATGTCACTGCGCCCACTGATTCTGTCGACACCTCCCCCTGCCACGCCACCCTGCCCAGCTTGGCGGATCTCGGTTCGCCTCCGTGCGCCTCAGTCCACGAAAATACCAAACTGGCTGTACGCCGGGCTCCGCCAGACGAAAATACAACTGCACGGGGTCCGCCACCCTCCGCCGCCTCACTGGCGTCCATGAAAATAGAGCCCTTTGTCTCTCAGTTTTTGTTTGAGATCAGTTTAAACAGGATAATGTAAATCTGCTCCGCCTGTGGCACTTGTGGTTTCAAAGAAGCTGAAGTGAGCCAACTACATCCTCCTCCAGCAGCCTGTCCGGCCTCTCCTCTTTTTCTCAGCGCTTTGTAGCTGCAGTTTGGTGAGTATGTAGATAAGATCCCCACTCACACACACTTAAAAAAATCTGTGGATCGTTTCCCTTCCAGCCCTGAAAATTCCTGCACCTCAGCAGATTATTTCAAAGTGCACCAAACCTGGTGAGAGACGAGAAGCTGCAGGGTGAGAGATGAGCTGTGGAGTGAGCTAAAAAGACCCCACCAAACTGTTTCTCTCTCCTCCCTGGTGCACTTACAAAAGGAAGAAAGAGAAGAGAGAGGGAAAGTGTGAGGGAAGCAGTTTTGACTGCAGAGAATACATTAAAGTCAGAGATTTGGAGAAAACATGCCCGACTGTGGACTCCTCAGCTACAGTGAGCTCTCCCAGAAAATCCCTGCTCCTTATTGACTGTGGGCTTTATCCATTATGTATTAGGTAAATAAATAATCAATCGCTTTCCTTGCTGCAGGCACTTTTTTGTCCAACTACAAGCACTGTGGGCGCAGCAAATCTCCTCTGTCTTCATACAAACTGAGGTGGTCTCTGGTCCTAGTGATCCCTCTGTCTGTGCAGCCGTGACTGTGCTGACCGGGTCCTGAAGGCATCACACCGCCTTGCCAAAAGCAGAGAAACAGAAGAGGAGAGGTGAACCCAGGATGGATGAGGAGCAGGGGTGTAAAGGACTGAAGGGGCACCTCCCCAAGAATTGACTCTGCACACTCATGGATATTAATGTAAGAGGTAGACTCAACATCATTCATATAGAGTTGACAGGAAGATGTCTGAATTATCCAGAAAGGCATTAAGAAGTCACTTCTTTCTCCCCTAACTGATGAAACATCCAGAAAAAACACTGATTCACTTTAAGTCTGTGTTAGGATGAGTTTCTTTAGCCTGTCATGTCAGCCTTTAGAGTGGTGGAGCTGTGTCACTCAAATACCTCAGATACTTCAGTGTTAGATTGCTGGAGCTGGGGGCCTCCAACAACCATCCTCAACAAGGACCTTGTA